GAGAACTAAACTAAATTAGATCACTCTCCATCCATCCTCCTTCCGGGAGCAAATTAAAGCGCGACACGAAGAACGGAGCAGTAGTCTGCAAAGCGGGCAGCTGGAGCTGCAGAGAGCTACTGACGTTGGGATTCCCCCAAGGCTGCCGCGAGGCCGCTGGGTCCCGAGCGGCGGTTGAGCCGGCGGCTCGCGCACCGGGCCACCTCGGCATCCTCCCGCGCGGCCGCTCGCGCACGCGCAGTTAGCAGTCGCTGCTGGGCGGCTGCCGGCCGGATCGGTCTGGGGAGACGCCGGGGACCGAGTAGCGGCCAGTCGGACACCTGAGCAGCCGCTGCTGGACACAAGCCCGCAGGACAGGTGTGTGGACCGCGGGCCGTCGGCCTGCGGCTTGTTCTCTGGGGCTGGGGTGAGGGATCGGATCCGGATGCCCCGCAGCACTCTATTCTGAGACTAGAAGGCTCAGCTGGGTGCGGCCAGGTGAAGCTGTAGGTTGAGTTCAAGGCTGGACGTGCAACAAGCTAGGCGCTTGGGTGGGCTCTGCCAGCCTCGGGTGGAGATCAGCCCTGGGTGGAGGGACAGACGCCACCCCGAGTCCCGAGGGTCCGCCACCTGCTTCGCTGACGCTGGGGAGGGCCCGGCGCCCTGTGCAGCCGGACGCCCCTCGAGGCCGTTATCTCAGCGGTTGCCACTGCTGAGGTTGCCATTGTGGCCCCGTTCCACGGAGCCCCTGCCCACGCTCCCAGAGGAGTTCTTCGCTCCTTTCTAGAAAACACAAAAACCAGCGTGGGCTCCTCAAATGCAGCCCACGGAGCCAAAAGGATCCCCAACCCCACCCCCACACTTGGTGAAGGTGGCCAGAGAATCCTAGCCACTCCCTAGACACTTGGGTGGAGCCTAGTGGGCGCCACTGGGGAGTGAACCCGAGTGTGTTGAATCCATCGAAAGCTTAATGACTAGGGACTCATTATCTAGAGCCTGTTTACTATCAATCAGATACTTGACATCTGTCCCACCCAGAAGGAAGAGGCCCTGAAGGAGTTTGGGGTTAAAAAGCAAACAGCTAGGAAGTTGGGAGCTGGAGACAGAAAGAAGGTATAAAGAGAAATAAACAAATTGGGCAAAACAATGCGGCCAATGGGAAGACATCTCTGAAGATTGATTTATGTTGAAACTTTTGGATGTATAAAATAGCAAATCATGGGATGGGGTGTTTTGCTTTGTTTGCTTGCCCTGAAATTTTTACATCTCTCTAGGTAGCCCTCTTTTGGTAATTGTAATCTTGACCACCTTCTAGTGCACAGTCTGTTGGCTTGGTCTGTCTTTTTTTGTTTTGTTTTGTCCTATTTTTCTAGTTGGTTGGTTTGTTGTGTGTCTGTGCGTATGAAGGTACTGATGGGTACTGTAAATTAGCTTCAGGGCTCATTTTGATGCCTAATAAATTTTTATTCTTGTGTAATCAGAAACAGGAACCGCCAGCTTTGATAGGATTTCAGCTCTTGTCACTCAGCCCCCTCACTTCATGGGTGACAAGAGGCCCAGAGCAGTGGACTAGTTCAGTTGTCCTTTGAACAACAGTGCTAGTCACTTAGTGACAGGGTATCAGGGCAGGCAGCTTCTGAATACTGTTAGTCTGTAGTTGAGCTGCCGAAGCCTCATGAAAGAATCACAGGGATTTTTCAGACAACAATCCAGAGGTGTGCCAGTGATGTCCACTACTTCACTCAGGCAAAACGAACAACAACAACAAAATGAGTCACAAGAGGATCTGTTTAAAGAGTGTGAGTGTGTTACAAAGGAAAGTGCTGGGGCTGGAGAGGTTAAGGGCGCACACTGCTCTTGCAGAGGACCTGAGTTCAGTTCCCAGAACCCACATCAGATACTCACCGTAACTTCAGTTCCAGGATATCTGATGCCCTTTTCCGGCCTCTTTTGGCAGTCACACATATAAACACATACATACATACATACATACATACATACATACACATCTATATGGTGAATACACAGAATGACAGGATGAGTCTTGGAAGAAGCAATATATGGCAAGATCTACTGAACATTTTTTAAAGTAGGGTTTGATTTATGAGTTTTTAGAATTCTTAAATTTAGGATTAAATTTAAGAACTTAAGGCATTTTTAGAAAACACTAGGCTTGAAAGAAGGCAGGGTTTGGTTATAAAGGTTAGCCAGAGTAGAAATGACCCTGAGTGACAAGTTAGTAATATGGGTCGGCAAGGCCAGGTCCCTAATGAAGGCTGAGAGGTAAAAATTGTGCCCTCCTAATGAATTCAGCTGCCAGACACCGCAGGGGCCCAGTAAGACTATACTGTCAAGTTTTGCTTTTGTTTGGTTGGTCGGTTTTGGTTTTTTGTTTTGTTTTTTGGTGGTGAAGCCAGGGCTTTGTGCTAGGCAAGAGCTTTGGCCATGCACTAGTGCCCAGCCCAAGTGTGTGCATTTAGAGGCAGTTTGGTTGACTAGGTGATAGTAATGGAAAGGGGACCTAAAGACATAGACAAGCATATTTACAATTTTTAAAATTACATTTATTAAACCAGGTGTGGTGGCATATGCCACTAATCCCAAAGCTTGGGAGACAGGGCAAAGGGAGGTGGATCTCTGTGAATTCGAGGCCAGCCTGGTCTACGTAGTGAGTTCACAGAGAGAGCTACACAGAGAGAGCCTTTATTTATTTGTTTATTTGTTTGTTTGTTTGTGGGTAGGGTGGTCAAACACTGGAGCATGCATGTGGGAGTCAGAGGACAGCTTTTGGGAATTGGTTCTTGTTCTCTACCATGTGGGTCCTGGGGATTAAACTTAACTACAAGTGCTCACTTGATGACCACAATAAGCATACCACAATTCAGAGTTCACATTAATTCCTCACAACTAAAAAGTGACCTCTGAACTTTGAATAAGGTTCAGGAATCCTTCAACAGCTTTCATAGGAAGAAGCAAACATTGAATATAGTGAATGAAAAAAAAATAAAAAGGAAAGAAAAGAACATGACTGATCCTAGGTAGGAGATTACTGTAAATAAAAAGGAGAGCATAGCCAGAAGCCCATGACCCTGATCCAATGGGGGCGGGGGGGAGAATCAGACAAAGGAGTGGGTGAACAAGAAGTCTAGATGATATAAGGAAAAGCCTATGGGTAAAGGGCAGCCCAGCCCCTGGGCTGGAGAGTTCAGGGCAAACAGTGGGGTATACCAAACTGGGGGATGCTGGGAAAACCTGGATGCCAGGTCTTCTTTGATATGTTAAATAAGCCATTTGTCCTGAGTTTGAAACTCAGCTAGTGTGGTGGTGTGCACTTGTCATCCCAGTGCTGGGGTGGCAGAGGCAGGTGCAAGATCCCTGGGTACAGGCATTCTGGGAACTACTGTTCAGGCCCCTCAGAAATTAAAGGCAGAATTGTCATATGATAATGTGTTTCATATGAATAGGTATACACCTCCTTTGTTAATTCCCTTGTTGCTGGGACATAAATTCTGGATAGAAGCAACTTAGGAGAGAAGGGTTTATTCTGGCTTGCAGTCTGAGGGGCCACAGCCCATTGTGGCTGGGAGCATGGCAGCTGCTCATATTGTGTTTGCAGTTAGGAAGCGGAGAGGGAGAGATGGATACTGGTGCTCAGCTCACTTTCTTGTCTTCCTTCAGTTCAGGGCCTCAGCCCACGGCATGGTGCCGTCTAGAACCATTAAGAATGAGTCTTCATACTTCGACTAACACAATCTAGAAACCCCTGCCCACAAGTTTTTCTCTAGGTGATTCAAGATTCTGTCAAGTTGACAATATTAACTATCCAGGAACTTAAACTGAAAATTCATTTTGAAAGAGAAAACATGGTTCCAAAGTGATATTGATGTTCTTTTAATTTTTTTACATTTAGTGTGTGTGTGTGTGTGTGCTGTGTCTGTGTCTGTGTCTGTGTGTGTGAACAGCTGTGACAGTCTATTCTCCCCTTTCACCTAAGCCTTCAATTTTGGCACCATGTGTCTTTCTTGAGCCATTTTGCTGCCTTGACATTCTTTGCTACTGCTCCTATATTATGCCATTTACTTGCTGGAAGGCTTATCTTTGAGAAGAGTCTTGTTATATATGGCTAGCCTTGAACTCCTGGCAATCCTGCTTCAAGTCCCTATATGGTGGAATTACAGGTATGTGCTATGTGCCTGGCTTTTTAAAATATTTTTACCTTTTTGTTGTTGTTGTTGTTCTTTCTTTAATTTCAGTTTATTTACACCCTTTACATCCCAAGGGTGCCCCCCATCTCCTCCTAGTCCCGTTCTTTCCTTTCCCAGAAAAGAGGATCTCTCCCCTTCCACCAGATCAGCCCTCTCCAGCACATCAAGTTACGTCAGGACTGAGCGTATCTTCATCTCCTGAGGCCAGACAAGGCAGCCCTGCCAGGGGGAAGTGATCCAAAAGGAGGCAATAGAGTCCATGTTAGAAACAGCCCCCCTCCCACTCCACTCACCAGGTGCCCCATATGAAGACCAAGCAGTCTATTAACCACATACGTGCAGGGGGCCTAAGTCCAGACCATGCGTGCTCCTTAGCTGATGTCTCAGTCTCTGTAACACCTTGTCTCTGTTGGTCTTCTTGTGAGGTTCCTGTCCTCTCCAGGTCCTTCCATCTTTCTCCCAGTATATCCACAGAACCCCCAGAGCACCAGCCCCCTGCTTTTTGGTACTAGAGATTAAACTTAGTACCTCATGCAGGCAAATGCTCTGCAATAAGCTCTCTCCTTTACTGAAGGGCCAGTAATAATAGCACATCAAGTAAAATACTGTGATGTGTGTTTATGTAAATCGTGAATGGTTCTTAGACTTTTAGGACAAATGAAGCTTTTAGGGCTAAGCTTTGCCATTTGCAAATGTTAGCTTCTGCTCCAAAAAGTGGATAATTGAGAAAACAGGCTGACTTTCTTATTACCAAGTCCAAGCGATTGTCTTTCTCCCAGAAGCAAACTCTCGTGTGTCGTGTGTGTCGTGTGTGTGTGTGTGTGTGTATGTGTGTGTGTGTGTGTGTGTGTGTATCTGTCTGTCTATCTGTCCATAAAGATGGCAGTACCTGAGTATAGAAAGCTCCTATTAAGGTATATTTCTGTTTAGTGGTTTTGAAAATGTGTATTTTCAAAGTAAACCTTAGGGTGGGAGCCAGCAACCTTTAAAAGAAATCAAGGTCGTCTGGCCAAACATTCATCTAAAGTCTCGATCTCCTGAAAAAGAGTTGTATCTGTTGAAGTAGTTAGGCAGAACAATGCTTTTTGTGATCTGTTCTATAAACTGCTTTAGTAACATATAATTTGTGTACTGTCAAGTTCAAGTACTTAGTATGTGTGATTATATTCATAGACTTGGGTAACCACTACCAAATTCCAACATTGGACATTTCATCACCCTAAAACCATAAGCCCACGAACCCTCCCCCTGAGCTCTTGTGTAGCTGGCCTCTCATCTATTCTCCAGCTTGATAGGTTTTCTTGTTTCTTTAAAATGAAATGGTACAACATTTGTGATTGTTCATAACTAGCTTTTCCTTTTCTGTTGATGGATGCATACACAGTATGAGGGCTTCAACTCTTGTCTATACGATACATGAGTTGCTGGGCATTTGCATTGGTCCACATTTGGGTTGGTAGAAGAAATGTTTCTCATGGCTTGTATCTAAGTATTTGTTGAAGACATAGGTTTTGTTTTATTTTGGTTATTTTCTTGAGTGGAATCTCTTGGGCATTTTGAAACCTGCCACTTTTTCCCACTGCTGTTGATATGGTAAATTGCCATATCAACAATGTGTGAGCGTTCCAGTTTCTCCAGTCTCTGTGGTTTTCTGTTGTCATTTTTGATAATATCAATTCTGCTGATTGTTGTGCCGTCTCTATCTCTGTCAGTCCCATCTTTCTTATGTAGACCCAATTAGTCTATAGCATCTGCGTTCTGAAAAGTCTTAAGAATTCTAAGAATCTGCTTTAAAATTTTCCTCAAGTTGATGTTAGCTTTGGGGAAAGAGTAGCATACATGATGAGGAGGAGAAGGAAGAGGAGGAGGATGTGTTATTGTATGAGTGTGTTTGAATCAATGACATGGAATTGTTTCTGTGCCCAACAGTACTCGTTTGAAGTCTGCTGGCACCAAGGGAGACATTTTGAATTGGAATATGGTAATACGAGTAGGTGAAGACATAATGACATAAGCCAAGCACTTCTGCTAAGAAGACAACATGTTGAGTTTGGCATTTAATCCTCCTGAATACTGCAGTTAAGCACTGTTTGAAGAGACATATTGCCAGCAACTAGGTGATGGCCATGGCAGCAATGAGCTCAAGGGATCATGGTACTCAAGACAGTGTGGGGTTTGATTTTAACAAAGCACTATTTTGTTAAATGTAGGATAAAAAAAAATCCCTTAGTTTTTGGTGTTTAGATGTAATTTGACTCTGGCTTTACAATTATAAAATGTCTAAGTTTGTATGTACTTAAGATACATTATGTGAAATAATATAAGTAAAAATTTAGAGATTATGGTATCTTCTTTCTTTTCAAGAAATCAGCATGTTATTTGCATCTCACAGACACTCTTGCCAACATCTTTATATTTTTATGCACTAATTTTTTGATTTTGGAAGACTTAGAAAGTTAGAAGTTGGTGTTTTACTTGTTCAAGGTTTATTTTAAATAATGTTGTTAGTGATTAAAGCATCCTAAAATAAAGGAGAAATTATTTTTTCCTATGGTTCTTTCCACAAGGCATCCTTGCCTGAGTTTTCACTGACTGCCTTTAAATTCACAGATAGTCAGTATGCGTTTCCAAGGTGTTGGACTATGCTTGGGTCTTCTGTTCATCACGGTCAGTGCAGACTTTATGGATGATGGCGTTGAGGTGGAAGACTTTAGTGAAAATTCAGAAGAGAGTACTATTAAAGAAGATGAACCTTCCTCAGGGGTAAGATGGTTGAGAAGTGAGTTAAAAGCAATTCTTTCCAGGGTCATAGGAGTGACCCAGCCCTCAAGATGCATTTCCTTCCCTTCTCTGGCTTTACAATTATAAAATGTCCAACTTTGTATGGCTTAAGCTACATTACATGAAATACTGTATTCTCTTCTCAGTGGAGAGGAAAATGTGGCCCTTTCCAACTGTGTTCCTTAGAGTGCCTATATACAGCAAAAATTTGTGTTTGACACCCAGTCCACATGTGCTCAACAAGGACATGGGAAGTTTTTGCTACCAAAACAGGAGTTCACTGGTTAAAGAGTACCAAGTTCTGTAGAAAAGACAAAGGCCTTTTGTTAGCTCTAATACCAGACTTTTCCATACAAATGGAAGGTACCATAATTTGTGGTTCTTCAAGAAGCAAAGGAAATGGCTTTTGCTTATTTCTCTGTGGGTAGAAAATGTGCACAGGGAGGATAGACTTGGAAGGAAAAGGGTGACAAAGTGGGCAAAGTGGGCTGAGCCAGGACTCTGTGGTCTATGCTGTTGGGGTGGATGTTCTGAGGAGGTGGCTGATGAGAAACTGTGGAACTTTACAGAAATTTTGGTATATCTATTTTGACCATCCCCTGGAGCAGTTTTTACCCTTCCTAATGCTGCAGCCCTTTAATGCAGTTCTTCATGTTGTGGTAACCTCAACCCTAAAATTTTGTTGCTGATTCATAACTGTAATTTTGCTATTGTTATGAGTTATTATGTAAATATCTGTGGTTTCCAGTTCTCTTAGGTGATCCCTGTAAAAGGGTCATTCAACCCCTCCCACCCCTGCAAAGGGGTCATGACCCACAAGTTGAGAACCACTGCTCTAGAGCAGTGAGTATATTCACATCTAATACTGTGTTGACTAGAAATCATTCATCCTGTTGTGCCAGCCTCTGCTTAAAGGGTACAGAGAATTAATAGGAAGTTCTCACAGATTCCTTTGCTTCAGCTCCTCTTTATTGGGTTTTTAATAAACAAATATAAATGTTATTATCTGTGTTGCAATGAATATTGTGCTTTCCCTGTTAAATTTCAGTCTCTGCAAAGGTATTTCTTTTGAAACTATTTTTTACAAAGCAATGCTTAAATACCAACAGCACCCTACTATAGGGGACTTTGGAAGTTCATACTTTAAAAAATCGACAAGACTGTTCACCACGGACATCAGTTGAACAAAATAACAGGTTTTGTTATGACATTACTGAGACATGATAAAACCTGCGACCAGAGTCCATGCCTCCCATGGTTCTGTTGCCCACATGTACTGCATACTAGTTTCTGAGCCAGCAGAATGACTTAGATATTTGCAAAAATAAATAACTTCAGCTTTAAAAAAAATCTCTTTTCCAGACAATTAAATATAAGACACCTCGACCTATAGGAGAAGTATATTTTACAGAAACATTTGACAGTGGAAATCTGGCCGGGTGAGTATTCCTACATGGTCTTCAATGTGTTAGGTTTTCTGAAGCTATTGGTCTAGGAGAATTAGCTGTCCTGTGACTTTAGGGGGTAATTTAAAGCTATATATTTCTACAAAGAGACAAATTCAGGATGCAAAAATAAATAAATAAATAACACAGCATTCCCTTGCTCTCTCGGGAATATATTAACAGCGGAGGGTCACAAGACACTTATGCCGCTCTGTTGCAGCCATAGTGCTGTTACGCACATCTGCGATGGTCACACCTACTGATTTCTGTGCTCCAGACCTTCTGCCTGGTAGCTAGAGGCGTACTCCATGCCTATTTCCCACTGAGAAACTGAGGTCTGGTGGGCATGTTTACTCCCCCACAGATGCCAGCTAATCCGAGCTGATTGAACTCCGGCCTCCTGGCATAGCATGAAGGCTAGATGAACTGATTCACTACTTAGCACTAATTGATTGTGAATGAAAACTGATTGTGTTGGATAACACAGTCAGCTATGTGTTATCCAACACAATCAGTAGTTTTACACGCATTTATCTATAAATTGCAAATCTTACTTTAATGGCAAATATCTGTCTTCACCTTTGTTTACAGGTGGGTCTTATCAAAAGCAAAGAAGGATGATATGGATTCAGAAATTTCTATATATGATGGTAAAATACTTATTTAACTCTTAGATAACCACCACCCATGTTCACTAGCCTTTGAGATTATATTTTTGTTAAATTATGTTGGCCGCTCTGCCTCCACAGTTCATCCTCTCCCTCTTCAGTGTTTCAGGGATTGCCTGCTTGAGGCACTTGTCTGACTCTTAGGTCACGGTTGGGCTTAGTGAGCTCGCTTGCACTGTGCTGTTCATCTCAGAGCAGAGATGTATTAATGAGCACTGTAAGACTGTGGCCACCACTGCAGCCCACAGCTTCAGGCCCTGCCCATTAGCCACAGGTCCCCTAATGCTTCAGGCTTAGCTGTGGAAGAGTCTTTCAGGGTCAGACTTTGTTTGCTAGAAGGACCACTTCAGAGAAGGACAGAAGAATGTCCTCCTTCTGGTTTAAATGTAGCCTCCTGAGCTGTCATGTATCCAAAAGGAAAGTTGCCCTTTACCACCAGAAAGGGAATTCATTCACTGTCTAGGAGATCCTCACACCCAGAAGCACTTGGCCTAGAACTCAGGCTCTGCAGGATACATCAGAGCATGTGCTATGCTTCAGTTGTCAATTTCCTGCTCATAGTCTCTCTAACCATATAAGGACCATGACCGCCTGCCTTCCTCTATATTTCCCAGCAAATCCCTATTGCCTCCACTTGTGTGTGCACTCCAAAGAAACCATGCACAGATCAATTTAAAGCCACCTAGAGAATTCTTCCCCTCAAAGAAACAATGAGGCCAAGGAACATGCTGCCTAAAATAATCTAAATAAATACAGCATCACTTACTATAAAGCAGATAGCAGATGCTTTAAGCATCTGTGATTAAGCCCTTCATGCTCTTTAAGAAAAGCCAAGTAAAATGTTCATTCTAGAAAAACAATATGATACAAGCTGGAGGGATGCTGGAGGGAAGCCTGCAACATTTATTTTATCTTTAAGATGGGCCTTGCTATGTAGCCTAGGCTGCCTTCAAACATGCAATCCTCTTGCCTCAGGCATCTGAGTGGTGGTGTGATTACAAGCATGTAGAAGTACTTTTTAAATCCTAATGTATACAGAACAACAAACTAAAATTCAACCTGCTTTGATCATAAGACTTGTGGTTGTTTCATTGTTTTTTGTTTGTTTGTTTGTTTGTTTGTTGAGGGGAAAAAAGGCAGTCTAGAAGCATTAGTGATTTAAATGTGCCCATAAAAGTAATTTCAAGTTGAAACATTACAGCAAAATAACCATCTTTTTGCTGAATTGACTTTGGTTGGAACAGAGAGACATATAATTTTTAAAACTGTAATCTTTTATACAAATTAACATTGTTTTCTATCTAAGAAGAGTTAAGAAGTGATGTCCAACACAAAATTTTGGGGCTACAATCCGTCCACCTGGCTAACAGCCTGTGTAACCCATGGTCTGAGCATTCAGATCTGAAAGCTGATATCCCAGCCCGGAGCCCCAGCTCGGCTTTGGGGCTTGCTGGCTTAGGGCTTCTCTGGGCATTGCTGCTTTTCTGGCCTGGAACCCTCCCAGCTAGGTGACTTAACCAGGAAAGGGTTTGTGTGATGAGAGAGTTTTCAAATGCAGCTTAAGTACTTGCAGGGACTGCTGTCTGAACGCACGAAGAGCGCTGTACGTTTCCTAGCGCACTAAGTCAGCCCTGGACAGACTGCCCACTCTATGTTAAGGGTGTGCTTTGTCCCATCTGCACTTTTAAGCATCTCCCTTTATTTCATTTTATTCATTTTTATTAAGTATTTGAACAAGGCAAGCTTTGCTCTTAACAGAGTCCTCAGAGGTGAGAACACACAGAAGTGCAGAAGGCAGGATTCACAGGCCTCACCAGGCAAACCAGATTTTATTACTTGTTTGTTAAAAGTGGGTCAAGAAAACCTGATTGCATCCAATTAAGAACTATACCTGCCATGTCATTTATTAGTTTTCTGAGTTTTAGCTAAGAAAATGAAACCAGTTTCTGACAATAAGAAAAAGAAAAAAGGGGGGGGGAGAAAAGGAGAAGAGAGGAGAGAAAGAGAAAGGACGGGGAGGAGGAGGAGAAAAGAGAAAAAGGGGAAAATGAGGATGGGGAGGAAGGAGAAGATGGGAAAATCCAAATTCCAACTATTATTTTCTGATGTGTTTTGTGGCTTTATTTTTTTTTCCATAATCAGTTTTTATGGGGAAAGATCACTGCTAACAACTGCTGAGAGGTGAATTTTTGTGTGTCTTCTATTGCAGCTCATTTCCTTTTCTTTCTCTTTTAGGAAGATGGGAAATAGAAGAGCTGAAGGAAAACCAGGTTCCTGGTGACAGAGGACTGGTTCTGAAGTCTAAAGCCAAGCACCACGCAATATCTGCTGTCCTCGCAAAGCCCTTTATTTTTGCCGATAAATCTTTGATAGTTCAGTAAGTTCCAATTTTTTCATTTGTGTTAGGCTAGTACATGTTGGCATCTGCATGTTATGTTTTGGTCTGTGCACACAAAAAAAGTTCCCACATTTCCCTTCCCAGGTTCATGTACAAATGTATGTTTACATAACCACACCCTAGGCTGTGGGAGCAAACAGGTTAGTGATAAACTCACACATATCCTGTATGCACAATTCTAAGTCACCACTTTAATCTTAGTTTTTCTAGTTCCACGCTGTTAGGATAGTAACCTCAGGATATTCAGGAAAGAGCCATAAGCATGACCAGTGACTCCACTCAGAGGCAGCAGATTGGTTTCAACAGGAAAATGTGTGTGCAGGTTGGTGTCTTCAAGCATGGAGCTCTTTTTAAAGCCGCATGCTATCTAAAGACTGTCCCTACCCGCGGGGTTCAACAGGTTCCTAAAGAGGAGGGGTGGAAAGAATGGGGGGAGGACAAGAGACACAGGAATGAAGGCCAAGTCTGTTTGTCTGATCAAAGCCTCATTTATTAGAAATTTTTACCCAGCTTACATAGGGAGAAGGCAGGAAAGGGGGAAGGCTAAATTACTGCTGCAGGAGATAGGAAGATTGCTTTCATGGGTTAAATATTGCACCTGCAAGATACCATAAGGATGTTTTCTTAAGCTATCTCACGGATGCTCTAAAACTAACAGACAGATGTCCTCACAAATCTATCACCCATGATTTAGGTAACTCTTTCACTAAATAGCTTTAGGTCTCCACTAAATGACCTTTGCTCACTATTTGGCTTTGGCTTCAGTAAATAGCTTTGGCTCCCAGCATGAGACCTTCTCTGTCCCCTGCACTGACATCAACCACATGGTCTGCTTGTGGACTGCCCCCAGGTCAGGTAGAAACTCCCAACCTTCTCTCGCCTGTAGGGCTGTGAAGCCAAAACAAACCTCTGACACCCTCCACACACACACACTCAGATCACAGAAGTGAGTCACTGTTGCATGCAGGCGACATTCTGTCTGGCACTGTCCCAGGTTACTGTGTCCTACAGAAGAAGCAGTGGTACCTGGCAGGCCTCCAGACTCTCCAGTTCTCCTTCCTGGGATTAGAGGTCCCATTTCTGCTTAGCCTATATTTCAGTGGCTATTCAATACCAAGTAAAATCAAGGAAGGTTTGCCCATTATCTGAACAAATTAAAATAGCAGTGGCTACACTGGTATTATTTATTATTAATGAATTTTGTTTTCCTTGATAATTTTTTTCTTTTTCCTTTTTCCCCCTCTCTGTGGTGTGTGTGTGTGTGTAGGCCCGAGGTTGATGCTGGGAATCATCCTCGATGCTCTCCCACTTTATTCACAGATGGAGTCTCTCCATCTACAGCATGGCTGGTCTGTAGCCAGCTTGCTCTGTGACTCCCCTGCCTCTGCCTTCTGAGGCTGGAATTTCAAGCTGGCCACCATGTTCACCCAGCATTTCACATGGGTTCTGAGGACCTGAACTCTGATCCTAGTGGTTGGATGCCAAGCACCTTCACTATTGAGCCATCTCCCCAGCCCTTCCTAGAGAACTGTGAAGTAGTCTTACTGTTTCCTAAAGTTAGATGCATGTAACATCACTTTCTGAATGCACCAGTCATTTGAAAGGGGCTGTAAAGGAAACCAATACAAAATTCAAGTTCTCAGGAAGAAGATAAATGCAGTGTTTTCAGTGTGAGTCACTAAGAAAATGGTATCTTTGAACTGATTGGCCTGCTCTTTGATCACCTCCCCGAGGGGGGAACAGCCTTAACTGGCCACAGAGGAAGACAATGCAGCCACTCCTGAAGAGACCTGATAGACTAGGATCAGAAAGAAGGAGTGGAGGACCTCAGTGGACTTGGGGAGGGGCATGCGTGGAGAAGGGGGAGGCAGGGTGGAATTGGGAGGGGAGAAGAGAGGGAGCTACGGGGGGGGGGGGAGGATTCAAAGTGAATAAAGTATAATTAATAAAAATTAAAATTAAAAAAAAATGTTTTGCCAAATAATAAGCAAATGAGAAAATATATCTAAAAATTTCTCAAACAACTGTGAAGTGGTTATTTTGAAAAAAATAAAAGAGGACCAAGAACTAAACGCAGTCAATGGGCTAAACTGAAAATATTTTATGTTAAATGCTATTAAAGGCACATAGTTTTCACTGAATTTATGGTGCCTTTTCCAGCGTGTGTGCATGTCAACGCATGTTGAGCACACCTAATCTGAAATCTGAATTGCTTTGAAATTTGGAACATTTTTCTAACCACTGTGATCGCTTCTTTATAGAACAATTTTGCACTACTTTTTTTGTTCAATATTTGTTTCAAATCTTATTTTCACACATGTACTGCCCATGTGGTGTTTGATCATTTAATATGTGTCACAGTCAGTGTTTGATGGAAATGGACATTTCTGTCTCTTTAAGCATTATCACACAGTTGTGATGAGAGCCTGTCTTCTGATTCTTTCTAGAACATAAGTCACTGTCATCACCTCCTGTTGCAGGGCAGAGTAGAACGTCTTTCTCCTTCTAGGTGTATTTCACTCCCTGGCCTTTGTTCTCTCTTTCCATCTTCTCCCTTTCAATTTTAAATCCCCAGCGACTCCTTTTCACTTCTATTATGTCAATATTTTACCTTCCAAAAAAGAGTAAGAGCGTGTGGTATATGTCCTGGGGTTTTTTTTGCTGGAATTATTTTACTTAGCATGATGTTCCATGGTTCCAGCTGTGCTGTTGTGAATAAAAGTTTGTTTAATCCTTTTACATGTCAGAACAGTATCCCACTGGGCATATGGACCACCTCCTCCTTAGCCACGTATCAGTGGTCACCTCAGCTAATTACACATCATGGCAGTTGAGAATGGCGCTGAGTAAATGTTGGGAGGGCAGGAATCTCAGGGCCTGGTTACACGTCCTGGGACTGTTTCAGTTCTGGGAGAGCTGATAAATGGCTCATGGTGCAGTTCTGGTTTTCATTTGGAATCTGGTGCCATTTCTCATAGTGGCTGTATTAATTTATAGTCCCACCATCAATATATAAGAATTACCCTTTTTGACATCATAAGCAGTTGTTTTGTTGTTGTTGGTGGTGGTGGTTTGTTTGAGGGTGGTTTTGGTTTTTATTTTCTGTTTTTCATTAAAGCCATTCCACCTGGGGTAGGGTTTTGGTTTACATTTTCCTGATTTCATGCTTGTGCACATTTTTTTTAATACATTTCTTGCTCATGTATGTATCTTCGTTTAAGAAATATATGTGTGGGTCTATTGCATTATTTTTCCTGAGAAAAGCTGTGCAGGATATCTGATATGCAACTCCAGTGAAAGGGTTGCTCAACCCTCAAAGAAGCCGCAACCCACAAGTTGAAAAGCACTGCTTTAGCGGGTCTGGGAGACATTCTTTGCTTGAAGAATGTCCTTTGCTTTTGAAGGACCTTGGTAGACTGAGGTGAGTGCTCAAGGTGGATGCCAGATGCTTTCAGGAATTGAGAACTGATTTGCCTCTGCTCCTTCTTTGGAGCCTTTGGTGGGCTCTGTGTAGGGCAGGCTCCCTGGTGTTTCCAGGATGAAAGTAAATGGGTAGGACTGCTCACCTGCTTTGTGGGACCACAGTAGGCAAGTCCTTAGATGGAGCTGTTCCTCAGGGGTCTGAGCAGAGTCTGGCCCTACATGAACTGCACAGCTTTAGGGTAATTCAGCGGTGTGGGTTTCCTAAGTTGATCTGGGTTTGTAAAGGCTGTTTGTGAGCCTCTTCTGTTGCAAACAGGTCAGTGCCCACAGCATTAGTTGGCATTGCCTCCTACTGGCCCATTCTCCACCTTGTTAAGGCCTTTTGGATTTAAAGTTGGTCTTGCAAAGCTTGAGAGATGGCACACTATGTGCATTAACCCTTCTTTATGGGTCTGTCCCAGATCTTCAATTTGCATCTCTGTTGTACCCCTAGTAGGTTTCACACTTTCCCTCAGAACTCCAATAAATCAGCAATTGTGGGGTTTTGGTTTGGTTTTGGTTTTTTGGTGTGTGTGTGTGTATGTGTATGTGTGTGTGTGTGTGTGTGTGTGTGTGTGTGTGTGTGTGTGTGTGGTGTTGTTGTTGTTATTTTTGAGGAGGGGGCTTTTTGTTGCTGTTGTTCAATTTCTTTCAGTTTTTCAAAACACCTAAATCTGATCTGATTTGAAATAGTTTGGTTGACCACGTAGTTCTAAAGTGTTTTGAATTTTGAAGCATTTCTGATTTCAGATTAGTTAGATTTCAGATTAGTTCTGATTTCAGGTTAGTGCATGGATCCCAGAGAAATACCCAGCCTGTGCATGCTGTGTACAGATGGTACAGATTTTGAAAGTTAAAGATGGTCTGGCCTAAGAAGAAAGGACATTAGCCCAGGCAAGATTTTAAGAAGTTCTACATATTAAAACATTTGTAGCTTTACTATTGTTTTCCTCGAGCATGCTTGACCATGTAAGTTGGTTTTCTCCTGTTAACTATTTCATAGAATGTTTTAGTAAACAATGCCCCAGAGAAATCAGGGTTAGTACAAATGCTGTGTATGCACCCTCAGTTTCCTGAGGCATGATGGTTAGCAGCAGTGTGCTTATTGATGAGAGACATTTGGCTCACCCTCCAGTCCATTGCCTATGACTTATACAAGCAAGTTAATGTTTGTAAGTTTGTGGGTTTGTTTCTCATGGTCCTGGGTGTTGAAACCAGAGCTTGCTGTGTGCTAGGCAAATGGTCTGCCTCTGATTTGCAGCTGTTTGTATTCTTTATTTTGAGACAAGGTCTCACCAAGTTGTCCAAGCTGGACTTAACTTCAGGAGCCTCCTGTCTCCATCTCTGAAGTATCTGGAATTACAGTGTTTGCAGACAGGCCCTGCAGAGTTGCTGTTCAGAAACAGAAAGTTTGTAGGATAAGAAAGGACAAAGTGACTGAGCTGAGTCTGGCCGGACAGCAAAGCAGTGTTTCTGTCAGTAGAGCTGTTTGTGAAGCTCTGCCTTCTATCACTTACACTTCCTGGAGGACCCTTGGTTCTTAGGTCACCTGGAATATAGTGATATCTTTTTTATTTAATTTTCCTGAAAATAACAACCTTTAAGCCACAGCAGGTGTCATTTCTTCTGTTTTGTTCTTCAAAGAAACTGTCAAGTTGTGTTTTAAGTAAAACTTATGGTTTAGGGGAAACAAATTTTCTTTTATTTTTAAACTGTTTTTTAAATTGTTTTTGCTAAAGTTCCATAACAGAAAGTGACTGTTTTGAGCTTTTATTTCTGCATTATCACAATCACTTTGAGTTCTTGAAGCGAGGACCAAGCCCCATATCATGGGTGAGCAAGCAGAATTCAAAGGCTGTTAGATGACTTTGCTCACACAGGCTGTTAGCAGGGCTGGTGGGAGAATCAAGAAGCAGTTTCTGTCTTTTTTCACTTGGGAGTCTGTGCTTAGAGCCCCTCCTATGGGTAGCTTGGGAAAGAGCACAGCACAGGCGGCATCTCTGTATGCTTGAAAGTTATATGTACACAATAACTCACAGCCCCCCCCCATTTCCTTTCTGATCCAAGTGTATATATCAGTTGGAAAGCTGGCATGTTGTATATTCATTAAATGATCTCTATTGCACATGGTTTCCAAAGTTTTTATCGTTTTGTTTCACTTCACTTAACAAAACGATTTCCTTTTCAGTTTTTTACTATTTTTCACTTTAGCAGCTACTTTAGGGATGTTTTCACTTGGGATTCATTAAGTCATCAGACACCTAACCCTTTGTTTTATCACCTTAGCAACACAACCTAAAAGACACACACACAAACTAAACAAAACAAAACAAAAAAAAACTAAAACAGAAAAAGAAAAAAAATTGCCTGAGACTTCTAGTAGGTTGTAAATCTATGAGAGACTTGAGTTTTTAGCCATCACACTAGACAGTGGAAGTTTTCCTTTTCATGGCTATTTTGAGGTGAACTCCAAGTTATTGAGCGAAACTCTGAGACCTCTTTGCTAGAGAAATTCAATAAATTAAAACTATTGTGAATGGTTTAGGTATAGCCAAATTAAAATAAAAATCAGTGCTGGGTTCTGAATCTCCAAAGTCATCATCAGTTTCTGGGAACCCTGTGGTAGCTAGGTTAATACAGGCATGGAGGCTGGCACTGGCTCAGTAGTAGAGTGTTTGCCTACCTTGTAGGAGACCCTGGATTCGATATCCAGCTCCTTCAAGAAGCAGAATGTAGAAGGAACTTACTACATCAGAATCTGAGGTTTCTTGTTGCAGTTTGAATTAAAATCTCTTTACCTTTACTTTAATATTTTTGCTGGGAAAATTATGTAAATAATAAGGTTGGTTTATCTCCAGTTGGTTGCAATTATTTTTAAATATTTTAAGATCATTACTTCACTTATAGCATTAGAGGAACATTTCTGCTCACTTTGTGTAAGTTGTGGCTATTTATATGGATGAACTTGGTAGTAATGACAAATAATTATGCTTAAGGAAATTGAGAGTAATTCATTATACTTTAACAAGCAATGAGTAACGTTACTTATCAGCAGTGTGGTTCTTTTTCCCTCCATTTAGATATGAAGTAAATTTTCAAGATGGTATTGATTGTGGAGGTGCATACATTAAACTGCTAGCAGACACTGATGATTTGATTCTGGTATGACATTTTAATATCTAAGAACACCTTATTAAAGTCAGTAAGTATTTTAAGAAGTGGTTGACAACAACTAACTAAATATTTCACTTTCGATTGAAAAAAGTAACTATATCTTTTTCCAACGTGAGTTTACATGGCCTTTACAGTTTGCCATCAAGATCCATACACGGCTGCATTGCATGATGAAGACATCAGTTCTGTGCTCTTTAGTAACATAAATAAGTGTGCTCTGTCTGTGGGTAGAAGTGACAGGTGCATAGAGATGCTCATGAGATATAAAATTGCAGTTTCTTGAAAGTTTGTTCAGAGAAGTCAAATGGCAGCACAAAGCCCACATTAAAAGCTGAGCTGTTTTGTGTTGCCAACACACAGAAAAGGCTAAAGTAGCTTTGTAGTTCGATAGGTTGGGGACATTTCCTACAGCATTCTGCAAAAGAAAAGGTCACAGTGTCAGCTCTGTCTCTAACAGAAGTAAGGATACATGACATTGTTGAGAGGGCTTTGCTGATGTGCATATCAGAAACTGCTTTCTGCACTTCTGGCTTTAGGATTAGGTAAGCGAGAGGCATAGGGTGCAGTGAAGCTCTTGTGTTAGGTCTTGTAGGTCTCAGGGTGGCAAAGACATAATTGGCTTGAATTCCTTTAAGTACCAGTGAATCCTCAGAGCCATTTTAAGGTAGGAACTTTTCATCTCCACACTTGAGATGTGACCTCATGGCATGCAGAGGGCTAGGAAGTTCATTCAACTGCATGAGCTTGGTCACGTGGCCAGGGCAGTATTGGAGCTGCAGGAGGCACAGACTCCACAAGGAAAGAAAGCTGGAATACCTCTCTGTGTCTGAGCACTTGTTTATCTAGAAGGGTCATTTCCTGATATCTTCCTGAATAATGGTAATAAATAATCATTTTAGTCTAAGGTCATAAATATGCCTAGTTTCCAGGAACTGCTAATACCTATTTGCATAAAGCATTTGAAGTTTTTGTCTGAGCTCTTCCCTGGACCTTCAGGAAGTAGCCTGTGCCTTTATAAAGTAACACATCACTTTGAAGCAAAAGTTTTCACTCTGCCGTCTCCTTTATGTCATTTGTGTTCTTTGATAAGTTGGCATTTAATAGAGTCTCTAAACTCCACACAGTGGACAGAACAGAGAAAGTCATACACTGCACTATTGCTCTGGACTAATCGGGGCCATCATCTCTCTTTGAAGGAAAACTTTTATGATAAAACATCCTATACCATCATGTTTGGACCAGATAAATGTGGAGAAGATTATAAACTTCATTTTATCTTCAGATACAAACATCCCAAAACTGGAGTCTTTGAAGAAAAGCATGCCAAACCTCCAGATGTGGATCTGAAAGAGTTCTTTACAGACAGGAAGACACACCTCTATACCCTTGGTACACCCTTAGTTGATTCATTCAAGAGTACTCTCATTCCCATGGAGATGCTGACTTTGTGCTTTCAGGAGAAAGCACAAAGTCTTTGTCTTTGTCTTTGGGAGAAGATAAGTTGTGTCCAGTGGGACGGTGGAGGAGGGGTCAGAAGAGGAGATTACTGAATGGAAGCCACTTAGTGATGCGGCTTTCCTGACATGGAGCCCTACCCTAGGTGGGGTTGATGTAGGAAAGTGTTCATTTGTAGGAAAATCGGTGTCTTAGGGCATGTACACCAGGTCAGGTGCTCTCCAGTGGTTCTGAAACAGTTGAGTTCTTTGCAACATACTTGCAACCTCTTAAGTCTGACAGGGTTGTTTTACTATGAGGAAGATTGGGCCACATTCTGTAACTGTAAATAAGAGACACTTTTAGACCATGAGTCCCCACCAGGGTTAGCTAGCTGTTGGATATTTTTTCCTGTGGACTTTTTTAATGTTGAAAAAAATTATTAACCTCACTTTAAACAGATCTTATCTTTAATTTAGAAAATATTGTAGCTAGTGGTTTAAGCATGTTTTGATTCAGAACATTGGTTTTTCATAGTTAGGAGAAAATTGTATCCATAACCTTTAGGTCACTTTGTTATTTAGAAGGTTGCCCTTACAATGTCTGTCTGGGTATTAACTATACAGTGTTGAAATTTGTCTCTAGTGATGAATCCGGATGATACATTTGAAATATTAATCGATCAGAAAGTTGTGAACCAAGGGAGCTTGCTAGAGGATGTGGTCCCGCCTATCAACCCACCCAGGGAAATTGATGACCCCAGTGATAAAAAGCCAGATGAGTGGGATGACAGAGCCAAAATCCCGGATCCCACTGCAGTCAAGCCGGACGACTGGTAAGCAAAGAACTCAGGTGCAAGGCCTTGTCTAACCTGAACGGCCCAGCGTCAGAGGCACTTACAGCCAGTGAAACTGTTATAACAACAAAAAGCTCTTAAAACTGTTTGCTTTAGTGAGTTTGTATGACATAATTTTCAGAAACTGATGTTGCATTTTCTTATCTTTTTAGTTTTAAATTTCTTTATTTTTACTTTGTTTCCTTTTTTCATCATGTGCTTATTTTTTACGATATCAGTTCTGTGGAAAGATCCATGAGTTAGAAACACCAAGGCTTTCATTTTAATTCCTGGCTTGCTATTCTTCATATGTGTGTGGTATTCTCTAGAGCTGTAGATTGGTTTTGGTTGGTTGGTTGGTTGGTTGGTTGGTTGGTTGGTTGGTTGGTTGGTTTGGATGGCTGATTGGTTTTATTTTGTGTTTTTTGTTGTTTCAGTTTGGTTGGTGGTTTGGTTGGTTGGTTGGTTTTGTTGTTTAAATGAAGGGAAATCTCAAACCTGCTAGCTCAGAGAGTCAGAAAAAGTAAGCAGCTAACCTTCCTTCTCAGCTCAGGTCTGGATGGAAAAAAAAATCCCAAAAGGCTCATTAGCTTAGTGGACAGCCCAGGAGCAAAAGAAAAACAAACAAACAAACAAAGGCTTGCTAGCTCAAAGCCCCAAAAGCCAGGGAGCTGAGTTGCTGACACAGAACCTAAAGCCAGAGCTTAAGCTAATAGCTCTTTCTTCTTCTCCATACTGACTTAAACCCCTCAACCCAAAATCCCTCCTACTCTTTAATCCCTGTCAGCTGGTTTCTTGCTCCACCTCCTGACCCAGGGCTAACTTTATTAAGTCCAGTGTACCGAAAGCTCTTGGATTAAAGGTGTGTGCTAAGGCTGGGTGAACCACACCATACTCACCAGTTTACAATAAATGGAAAGTTCTTGAATTAAAGGTGTGTGATAGGGCTCAACCACACCAAAGAAACAAGGTTTTATAGTTCACAATTGTGGGGATCACAATGGGATCAAATATCCTGCAACATTGTTTCTTGTATTGTTTTGTTTTCTGTTTAATAATGACTTGGCTTTAGGTTGCTGCATTGTCAACATCTTGTAAAATCTACACGGGACTCACTCACACCCACTTGTTGAAGCACTGTTTATATTTACTCACTGTTTGTGTAGTTTGCATTCTAGGTGAAGGTTTCCCTTAATTGAAATGTATTGGGTTGATGAGTGCCCTATCCCTCTCTCTCCTGAGCTATTCTTTGTCCTTCAGATATGTTTTGTGATTTTTGTATAAAGACCATGGACTTTTATTCTTAAGAAACATATTTTTTTTCTGTTGGTTGCATAACTCTTAATTAAAGTTTGCTTAAATAGATTATAGTTCTTTTTATATTGAACCACCATGTTAGGTTGTGCTATCCCCTAACTAACTAACTAACTAACTAACTAACCAGCAAAGTCAACAACACATGTTGACTCTTAGGTCAGTGGGTTAGGGCAGGGTGTTGAGGTGGCCTAGCTGTAGGGCTCTGACTCTGGTTTGCTGAGAGGCTGCCTAAGCAGCTCAAATGGCTGATCCCAGTCCTCCCCGACCTCCCCACCTCTTCCGGATGTTCTTGGCATCTCCGATCACACAACAAAAGGAAAGAGAGACAGCACCCCTGAAACTGCTGCCATGTCTATGCTGTCACCCATTTGTCTCCCAGCTGGAAGGAGACTTCACAAAGGTGTGAATACAAATCCTAAGAGTTAAAAAAAAAAAAGTTTGTTTTTCACTTCCTGTGAGACTATAAAATGATTTTACATGCTTGTTGAAATGATTGTCTGTCCAGTACTAACAACTATTTGTTCAGCATTTTTCTGTTGTTTTTGTTTTGTTTTGTTTTCAACACAAGGTTTTTCTGTATAGCCCTTGCTGTCCTGGACTTACTCTATAGATCACGCTAGCCTCCAACTCACACAGATCTAACTACGTTTGCCTCCCTGAGTGCTAGGATTAAAGGCGTGCACCACCACTCCCAGCTTATTCAGCACTATTACTGTCTTTATTTTATATCATTTGTTGGCTTCTACTTAATTTTTTCAGGTTTATTTAAATATAAATTTTATGCTGCTAATTGCATTTGCAGTGTGTAGCTCTGTGGACACACAGGCATCTATGCCATTTTTACCTTCTCAGGAGGACCCTCACCTTCTGCACTCCTGAGGAGGTTTTTGTCCCCGTAGCTTTGCAGAAATGAACTCTTACAGGGTCTGGCTTCTGCATCCGGCTCCTGAGCCTGCCCTCTGTGGGTGCTTCTGTCTGTAGCAATCGCTCCATACCAGGAACCTAGGCACAGGTTCATCTAGTCACAGAAATCTTCATGATTTTTCAGTTTTGTGTAATTGCAGGTAAACTTGTAATAGACATTTACAAACAGAACTTTGGAGGGACATAAATTTCCCCTATTGAGGGTAAATGCCTAGGAATGAAATTGATGGACTGTTGAGGAAATTGTGTGTGTGTGTGTGTGTGTGTGTGTGTGTGTGTGTGTGTGTATAAACTGATGAAAAATGCCAGCCTTTCTTGAGGCCCATACTATTTTATTTTGCATTCCCACCAGCCTTGCACAGGGTTTCTGCTGCTTTACATTTGCATCATTTTATTCAGTTTTTGTTTTCTTTCCTTTTTGGCCATTCTAAAAGGTTTGCAGTAGAATCCTACTGTTTTAACTCACACTTCCCTAATCTCACTCAGCACCTGGTCCTTTATTACTTCTTTGCTGATGTAGCATTTTAAGTTTGTCAACTATTTTTAGAAATTTTTTATTACTCTGTGTGTGTGTGTGTGTATGTGTGTGTGTGTGTGTGTGTGTGTGTGTGTGTGTGTAGATGCTAAAAGGAAAGCTGTGTCAAATGCTGATTGCTGATGTCTGCTTGCTGTACATGTTCAGAGACTTACTCTGGGGTCAGGTCAGCCGAGTTATGCATTTAGCAGAATCCAGTTTAGTCTGTTCTGCAGTTTAAGGTCTGTGTGGGAAGCCATGACTGAGGTGATGATGTTGTGAAGTCCATTTTTCACAGCGGTGACATCTCAGTCATTCTCCTGCTCAGCATGCTCATACTCCCCAGGGTGTTCTTCCTAAGTATGTGTTACTTTAGCTACATAATACAAGATAAACATACTAAAATCTGTGCACTTAAAAGAAGCTAATAAGTAAGAAGGAGGACCCTGGGTAAGATGCTCAATCCTCATTCCGAAAAGCAAATGGGATAGGCATCGGAAGAGGCAGAAAACAGGGAACAGGACAAGAACCTACCAAAGAAGGCCTCTGAAAGACTATCCAGCAGGGTATCAAAGCAGATGCTGAGACTCATAGCCAAACTTTGTGCAGGAAATCTTATGAAAAAAAGGGGGGGGGGGGGGGACAGAAAAAACCGGGGGGGAAAAGGAGCCCAAAAAGGAGAAAAAAAAAAAAAAAAAAAAAAAAAAAAAAAAAACTGAGCCAGGGGTCTTTTCTGAGACTGATACTCCAACGAAGGACCATACATGGAGAGAACCTAGAACCCCTACACAGATGTAGCCTGTGGCAGCTCAGTATCCAAGTGGGTTTCCTAGTAAGGGGAATAGTCTCTGACATGAACTCAATGGCTGGCTCTTTGATCACCTCCCCCTGAGAGGGGAACAGCCTTACCAGGCCACAGAGGAAGACAATGCAGCCAGTCATGATGAGACCTGATAGGCTAGAATCAGAGGGAAGGACTGATGTCTTAATGGAAAAGAAATAAGTTACCTAAAGAGATACGAATGGCTTGGATGTGGCTTGGATAGGCATGTGTACTGCTGCATGTGCCTAGCTTGGCTGGAGACACCTTACTCCGTGTGTGTGTGTGTGTGTGTGTGTGTGTGTGTGAGAGAGAGAGAGAGAGAGAGAGAGTGTGTGTGTGTGTGTGTGTGTGTGTTGGAGTATAAGATGCCCTTAGTAAGCACACAGACCAAATGATATTCTGGACATAACCTTCTGGACACTTTGACATGTGTATTTAAGAACTTCTTAAAATAGTAAATACATTATTGTAATAATGTATTTATAGGGATGAAAATGAACCTGCCCAAATAGAAGACTCAAGTGCTGTTAAACCTGATGGCTGGCTTGATGATGAACCAAAATTTATCCCCAATCCTAATGCTCAGAAACCTGACGACTGGTAAGCATTCTTCAATTCCATAAAAGGTGCCTAAAGTATCTTGATTGTTTGCTAACTTTTATTGCTTACTGAAAAGACTGGAAGTTACTATATCGCCTCTGCCCTAAAAACTTCAGGAATGAAGACATGGATGGAGAATGGGAGGCACCACTTATGCCTAATCCAGCCTGTCAAGTTGGGTGTGGCGAGTGGAAAGCTCCCATGATAGATAACCCAAAATACAAAGGCATCTGGAGACCACCAATGATCAATAATCCTAACTACCAGGTAACAACCACTGTCCCAGTTCCGTAGTAAGGTTCAGTTTTCTCCTACTTAACCCTTACCAGTGTTCTGTAACTTTTAGAAGTTTGTAACTTTTTGAAGTTAAAGTCAACCAATTTAGGTTAGGAAAAAGAAGGGTCTAGGGGTATGCATGAATCTCCCTAGGAGAGGAACATAGAGTAGATTTTATGGGTGGACTGGGTTTGGGTGGGGAGAGTGTGGGGATCAGTGGGGATGAGATGGAGCAGAGGGAAAGAGTGAGGGGAGAGAAGGCTGCAACTGGGAGAGAGAGAGAGAGAGAGAGAGAGAGAGAGAGAGAGAGAGAGTCATCTCCCCATTCCTTACAAAAGGTTTCTTCTGTTCCTTTTTATTTGTCTAATGATATCACTTTATTTTATAATGTCTTCATTTGTTGTTTCTTCCAGGGAATCTGGAGTCCTCAGAAGATTCCTAATCCAGATTACTTTGAAGATGACCACCCATTCCTTCTGACCTCTTTCAAAGCTCTGGGCTTAGAGCTTTGGTCCATGACTCCCAACATCTACTTTGATAATTTTATCATTTGTACAGAAAAGGAGGTGGCAGATCACTGGGCTGCAGATGGCTGGGAACTGAAGATAATGGTGGCAAATGCTAATGAGGTATGATAGTGGCCACAGGCAAGTAATGTAAGTGTGGGTGGGAGTCAAGGGACTCACTCCCGGCTGTGGTTATACACTGACACAATTACTCAATGCCAAGAAAATGGACTTGAATACATTTTATGGACAGAATATTTAGCTTTTCTGCATAGACTATATGGTGACCTCTGCATGCAGATGTCTATGTCCTCATTTCATTCATTAAATTATGATAGCCTTAATGAGACTCAAAGCCTAATTGTGGCTCATACGTTAAGAAAGACTTCCTTGTGTTTTCCTGTTGGCAATGCAAGGCTAAATTGTAACAATAATCTATATGCATTTCAGCTATTTTCACTTAGAGAAATACCAGGACATCTAAACTCCACATCATTGTGTTTGTTTCCACAGCTGTACTGTGCTCTGTGCTAGCTGACCTTTGAACCCTTTGTCTCACTTCCCATCTCACTCAGAGGCTCTGGGATTATAGATGCAGGCCACTGCACCCAGTATTTTATGTTGATGCCAGCAACCAAACTCAGATTAGTGGACCTGCACGTCAGGCACTTTAATCTGCTGAACCATTCACTTAACCCCATTTGGTTTCTTTCCTTTTTTCTTTCTTTATTTCCTTCCTTCCATTTTTCTTTCTTTCTTCCTTCCTTCCTTCCTTCTCTCTCTCTCTGTCTCTCTCTCTCTTTTCTTTCTTTCTTTCTTTCTTTCTTTCTTTCTTTCTTTCTTTCTTTCTTGCTTTCTTGCTTTCTTGCTTTCTTGCTTTTTGAGAGAAAGTTTCTCTGTGTAACCCCAGCTGTCCTGGAACTCACTCTGTAGACCAGGCTGGCCTCAAACTCACAGAGATCCACCTGCCTCTACTTCACAAGAGCTGTGATTAAAGGCATGTGCCACCATGCCTAGCCCCATTTGGTTTTTTTAGACACTTAATTGCTATAAGTGAAATACAATGTGACCTTAGATTTTACTTTAAAAAAAAAATAAAACTCATATATAAGGGCCACTTATGAAATTGCTTCTATAAAAGGAAAAAGAGAACTCAATAATTCCTGAGTGATTTTCTCAGAAAGTTCTTTAATTAACAACACATTATCAAAGGTGTTTTTCATTGTGTGTGTGTGTGTGTGTGTTTAATGGGTGGTGTAAAATGTACAGAGTCTGTATTTCCCAGTGAAAGTTTGTAAGCTCTGTGCTGATTTCTCCCATAGCCTGGTGTACTCAGACAGCTCACGATAGCAGCAGAGGAGCGCCCGTGGCTCTGGCTCATGTACCTTGTGATGGCTGGGCTGCCCATAGCATTAGTTACTTCATTTTGTTGGCCAAGAAAAGCAAAGGTAAAAAAAAAAAACACTTTTCTCAACTTTGTTTTTCAGCTTTGCTTGTGTTCCAACGCTGTAGGAATCAAGCTGTGTAGTTAACTCAGTGTCAATGAAATGACTTCAGTTTCCTGTAAGACTGGACTGAGTTCCATATGTACCTTATCAGTTAGTGCAAAAAAAAAAAAAAAAAGTAGATAAATGTTATGATGCATAGGACACACGTTGTCCTTGTCAATAATTAGTATCTGTGCACTAAAATAAAATTAAAAATAGCGCTTTGCTTTTAGTAGAAACAGCTTTTGTTAACCTACCACAGAAAAAATATGAAGACATGGAGCCTAAGAAACCTGACGTTTGTAAACCACAAACTAAAGCAGCTCTAGAACAAGGAGTGGAGGAGGAGAAGGCCCCCGAGAAGCTGGATTTGGAAGAGGAAAAGAAGCCAAGTGCCGGTGACATTGGTGATGTGGGTGACGTCGTCGTCCTAGAAAAGGGTGAGACTATGCTGGGGACCTGTGACAGCTGCCCTGCCTCTCCCCTGCCCCGGCTTAGTGTCTGATCTTCACTGGAACTGCCAAGATCACCTACTTGGCAATATGGATTAGCAGTCCTCTGAGGACAGCCCTTTGAGCAGCCACCCTGTCTACACTACTCGTCCTTATAGCACAGCATCTTCTGCTTCAGAGACCACTTGACTCTGAGAGGACAGATGTTCCTCACCTCTAGGCCCCCATGGGGCACCCACAGCAGACTGAAAGGTTTCACCCAAGTCTAGCTCTGTGAACCACTGGGTTCCTCACAGATGTCTGGGTGACTCAAAGGCTGTGTGTGTGTGTGTGTGTGTGTGTGTGTGTGTGTGTGTGTGTGTGTGAATTCTTTATGTCATCAGTTCTCAGAGTCTTTGTAACTTATTAGCGCTTTATATTGATGTCTCTTCCGAGAGCATTCACAAATAACTAATTTGGGAAGACTTTAACTATCAAAAGGGCCTTCTTTTAGAAGGCGGTTTTGCACTTCCAAACTGTGCCTCACTGCACATGTGGAAATATGTGAGGAGCAGAAGCAACACGTGTCAGCTTCTGTTTCCTCAAACTTAACTTTTTGTAAACTGAGTTTTTACTTTCTACAGCTCTCAAGACATGTTGTCTTTTTTTGTATGTGGTGTTATCTCCCCCTCCTGCTCCTCCTCTACCTCTTCCTCTTTGTCTTCCTTTCTCTCCTTCCCTTCCCTCCCTATGTTCTCCTTGTCTTTTTATAATGACAGTGGCAGAGTTGGAGATTTGGCTAAACAGAATCCATAGGAGAATCAGTAACTGAGAAAGGTGAATGGCAGACAGCAAGCTGAAGAACACAAAGTCACCGCTAGGACATGATGACCAGAGAGCTGAGGGTTATTTGGGCTTTGTGTATTATGTAGTCATAATTTAGGAACATACCCTTTGCTCCAAAAAGAGGATTTATTTATAAGTGTAAAGTAGTGAGTATTTATGATCGATCAGTTGGCTTCTTTTCAGTTTTGAAGAGTAGAAATTTTTAAATTTTGTAATTTAAATAAATTCCCCTTAATTGTTCTTAATACTTTTCAGTAGCAAAAACCTAACTCATAGAGTTTCTGCCTTTGATAAAAATCTGTATTCCAGAGGAGGAAGTTGGTGAACCGGAAGAGAAGAGTGAAGAAGAAGCTGAAACCATGGAAGGGCAAGAGGAGATGAACAAGTTGAATAAATCTGGATCAGAGGATGAGGTAGGGCTTCCTCACAGAAACAAGGTTTCACCATGACACACACACACACCCTGTACCCCGGATCCTTGAGTATGTGCCTTTAAGTTATTTTTAAACAAATTGATAGAGAAGGCAGAAAACCACTGTACTATAGTATTACCTTGGCACCTGATGAAGGAGCACGTCGCCTGTGCCATAATGTATAGCCTGCATTGGTAAAAACAATAACTCTATTGGTCGAGATGTACAAAGCTTGTGAGTACTTAAAATGCAATCCTCCTGCAGAAACAGAGCTATAAAAAGACTATTGCCTCAATCCATCCTTGTGTATATTTGTCAGGACATTGTTTTTGAAAACCATAATTTTGTGAAATAACTTGGTGTACTGCGTTAGTGTTTTGAATGACTTAGCTATGTAATGTCTTCATGCATGGGTTTTGTTCTTAGTTTGCTTTTAGGTACAAACACACTCCAAAAGGTAAAGAAAGGAGGGAAAACTGTCAAGACATTATATTTCCCCTCTCTTCTAATTTTCCTGGAAGCCCTCATGGCAGAGGTTCTGAAACAGTCAATCTCAGGTCTCCTGCTCACAGGAGCGGTGTGTCTCTTAATCCTGCAGTGCAAATGGCACAGCTGCTCCCTATGAGAGTGAGGCCATGCTCTAAGTCATAAATAAAATGCTGCAGGGGCAGGCATAGCATTCTTTGTCACATGCTTATTCGATAAGCAGGGTTGCTTTGAAAATGGCACGATGCTAATGTAAACAAATAAAACCTCAGGGCAGGTTAGTGAGATGCAGGAGGCTGGCAGAGCACATATATTACAGAATGAGAAATAAAGAGTGCGGGTGCCGACTCGCTACAGGCTGCATGAGGAGACACTGCTGTCGGGCCTTGTTTTCCAGATGAAAGAAGCTGACGAGAGCACAGGGTCTGGAGACGCACCAGTGAAGTCATTGCGAAAGCGGAGGGTACGAAAGGACTGAAGTGTGTCACGGATGCAAGTCCCCAGGAGAGAGAGATCTAGCACGCTACAGTTAGCGTGCCTAAAGGGACAGTGAATCCAGCTGCACCAACTCTTTCTAAATATCTAGCAATGTTACTCTTTCAGATACTTCTTTCTTTCTTTCTTTTTGGGGGGAAAAGGAACTTTGAAGTTAACTGGTCTTTGATTTTAGAATAAAAGAAAAGTGGCACATTACATGAGATCCAAGAGATTAATGTCCTTACAAGTTACAGTTTTAACAGTTGGAAGAGAGTTTTGGTTTTATACAGCAAAAATGATATGGGTTGTTTTTTTTTTTTTTTTTGTTTTTTGTTTTTTGTTTTTTTGGTTCACCTGCTATTGGAAAAAATATCAGCTATTGGACTTGTCTCTTAAATGGCTATGCAAAAAGATACAGGTTAGTTTTATAATAAGATGTGAGTATGTTCTGTTGTACAGACTGAAGGCAACGGGGTTCGTGTATGATCGCTTGGTGGTGTCAGCACTCTAGAGTGTCTGTGAGCCACACCTACACTGCTTGTGTTACACTATTGTCAGGGTCAGTTAACTTAGGGATTCCTTGAAGAGGTGCTGTGTTGACAGGTATGTCCACCAAACAAATGTTGAAGTGTCACTCATCCGATCACTGGGTAATATGCATAGTTTACATGTGAACACAAGGAAATAGGTTTGTCAAAACCAAATAATGTACAGATTATTTTTTCAAGCTCTTGTAGCCACTTCATGCCCAAATGGCTTACCTCATCCATGAAACTGTGTGTGCACACACTGCTCTTGACAATAAAATTTAAATATTTTTCTCATTTACATTACACCCTCTACATGGATCATTACTGGGGGATCTTTGTTTATTATTGTGGGATTCTAATGGCTAAATCCTGTTCTGCAGCTCTGTTTTTACCATGCTTTCCTGCTGACGAGGTCCCATGTACATTGAGTCTGCCGTCACCCTCACTGCTGCACCTGAAGTGGGAGCCCAAACAAGCTACCTTACCAGCAGGGATGTTCCATTTAAAACATTTTCTTGAAGAACTTTCTACTCTTACGTAGCAGGGGCTAACCCTCTGAAAGCCCCTCAAGCCCACGTGAGGACCAGAGGAGGACTTTAAGACTGAGTCCTTGTGAGTTGGCATTTGTTTTGTAGACATGCACACCCTCAACTCCCTCACACATCAGCATTCACACACTGAAAATGAACCGAGTTCGCCTCCCTGAAGGAGGCTGAGCGGAACCAATGACATTGTTTGCATCTTCCAGGGCGACCTGAAAACTCGAGTGAGTGCTTTCCCTATGGCCATGCTATAACGCTCAAAAACTCCTGGTGGATTTTTAACACACAGCTAACCATAAATAGAATTTACTTAGCAATAATAGAGCTTAACATAGCTTTCAAGGGCTTGAACTAGACATTTGAAATAATTCTAAATGAAACTATATCTCAAAATAAACTATGTTTCAAAGAGGTAAATCCCCTCTTGATGCAAATCAGGCTTGACATGTGACGTGTGTGAACACACTTTCTGAAGGTTGGGTAAAACTGTTTTAACTCTCTTCATTGCAGATTCACTCAGCATGGACTTTTGATTAAACTTCAGGAGCTTGCAGTGGTAATATTTGAGCAACTGAATTTATTTTTATAGTTAGTTTTATTGATACAGGGTTTTACTCTGTCGCACAAGCTGGCCTGGACCTCCTGTATAGCCAAGGCCACACTCACACTTGAAGCACTCCTCCTAACCTAGCCTCTCAGTGCTGGGATTGCAAGCAAGAGAAACCATGCCAACATCACTGCAAATTCCTGCTCCTGTTTCCCTTTGTGGATGTGCCAGGCTGACAGTTCAACCCAAACCAAAGCTCTTCTAATAACGCATGAGAGCTATGCACCTGGCAAGAGTTTTAATAGCCAACTGGCTTTTCCTTTCTTTATCCTAATCTGACTTTATTTTTTAAAATTACTTGAATTTATCATTTTATTTAATAAAAGATAAATAAATGTATACATGTTTTGCTTTCTTAGTTCTTTTCAGCTTTTTACTAAACTAATTTTCTAAAGATTTATTTTAATTTACTTGCATGCTCATGTGCCTGAATTTGTGTATGCACACGTGTGTTCAGGTACCTATGGAGACCCAAAGAGGGCATTAGGGCATTGGCCCTGGAAGTGCAGTTATCGGTGGTCGTGAGCCCCTATGTTGGTGCTTGGAACCAAACTTACTCCTGTGCAAGAGCAGCCCATGCTCCTTATGGCTGAGCCATCTCTTCAACCGCTGCTGTTTTCCTTGAAAATACTCTTCAGCTAGGCTCACTTCCACTAACCATTCTCTAGGATGACATCAACGTCAGTTAGGCCTAGTGTCAGTCTCCACTTGAAGGAACACATAATGGAAGTGCTGGTATAAGATGAACCACTACGATGTACCGTAAAATCTAGAATTCTCAAAATGGTTTCATCAGGCTAGGGAGCTGGCTCAGGGTAAGTGTGTTTGCCACATGGCAGTGTGAGTCCAATTCAGGGATCTAAGTGTGGAAGAAGGAGGAGGTCTCTGAGTTCCAAAGTTGTCCTCTGAAAAGATTGTGTGTGTGTGTTTAAACTGATTTTGTATGCCATAGAAACTGTTCAGAACAGTCAAACCATAACTTACTCTCTGTACACCTACCTTTGAGGGTCTCTCTTAGATTTTGGATGTGTGTTTTAGTTTTAGCAAAATGTAAAAATGAAATATTAGGCAACTTAAATAATTGCTTAATTTTTTGTATTTGTTTTGATTTTCGAGACAGTTTCTTTGTCGCCTTGGCTGGCTTAAATCTTTTATATAAATAATGTAAATGAAACATTTTCAGTAATCTTCAATCATTTATTCCCAAAGCATATGGGTCCCATACTTTCCTATAGTATGAGGCAGTTAGTAAATGAAGCTGTCTTAGTCTTTTTCTTTTCTATTGCTGTTAAGCCACCATGACCAAGACACTTACAAAAAGAAAGTGTTTACTATGGGCTTATGACCTCAGAGGGCTACAGTCCACAATGGCAGAACAAGGGCATGGCAGCAGGAACAGCTGATCTGAAAGCAGTCCAAGAACCCCCAGTGACACAACTTCCAACAAGGTCACATCTCCTAATCCTTCCCAAGCAGTTCCACTACCTGGGGATCAAGGATTCAAATATATGTGCTTACAGGGGCCACTCTTAGTCATACCACCACAGAAGCCATTTCTTCTTGACAGGTTAAACAAGGCAGGCTGACAGGAAACATATTTAAAGGTTTTTTTTTTCTTTTTTTAATTATCTGTATGTCTGCATGGGTTAATGTATACCCAAGCACCCCCCTGGAGCTGTGGTTATGGAAGGTTGTAAGTGCTGGGAACTTTGCAAGAACAGTATGAACTTAACCACTGAGCCTTCTTGCCATCAGTCTTGGAAACATTTAATATGTATCTAAGACCCCAGTACACAGAACAATAAGGACAGTCTTGGAGATGGCAGGCACTAGAACAACTAGAAAACCATCTTTCACACCTACCATGGTATCTTACACATTGTGGTGTTTGTTAAATGAATGCAATCTGTTTTTTTTTTTTTTTTTGGGGGGGGGGAGTATCTTCAAGTTTTAATAGCAGAAACTTGACAAATCTGTAAACTTTAAAACAAAATTAATCCACTGTATAAGTGATTTCAGCTCTATCATCATTCATCAAAACTCTGGGCTGAGCATGGTGGTGCACACCTTTAATCCTGGCACTTGGGAGGCAGCGGCAGGTGGATCTTTGTGTGTTGGAAGCCAGCCTGATCCAGTGAATTCCAGGCCAACCACGGCTATATAAAAAGACCCTGTGATAGAGTCAATATAAGTTTTTGTTACAGTAAATTTGTCATTTAAATTCCATTAATTTTGGGTTTTAGTGGAGTCAACTGTAGTTTTCTGGATGAAGTAGTTCAGAAGCAATGGTATCATTCATTTGTCCATGTATGTCTGTCTTTCTCTTTCTTCTTTCTCTCCTCACTTTATAGGATCCCAGTCCCCTCCCTCCTCTTCTCCCAGTCCCACCTTCACAACCCCCTTTCCTTACCCTCTTCTTTTCAGAGAAGGGGCAGCCCCAAGGGGTGCCAACCTTAAAGAATTGTCCATATTACAGTCTCACTTTACAATCAATCTTAACAAGGAAAAGAAACTCTGATACTTGTTGGTGGTCATCTTGGTTATGACAGCACTGAGGAAATCCCTATGGATAAGGAGTGGACGTTACCTCAAGGGCGAAGAAAGCATCATCAAACAAAGTCAAGCTTTACAGGCTTTAAGACCCACTTTTTCTTTGCATCTGACCCTAAAATTAATCTTAGGGTCTAAATTTCTGTATCACTTTTATCCTATGAAAAGGACCACATATTAAATGGGAAAGGACTGGCTAGGAATAAGTGTGAGGCATTACAACCTGGCTGGAAATAGATGCTTAAGTGACCCTTAAAACAAGAGTTTATGGCTTTGTATAGTCCAGAAGGAAAAACTGATACTACCTTGGGACCAAACTCACTCAGCAGCCCAACCTGACCTCCCAGGTGGCATTAACATGCACTGTATACTCACTCACTATCCCATTTACCACTCATTTTCATGGATTCTAATGCAGAAACAAATTGCCCATAAATTGTAACATTTTGTAAAATTTGAAAAATGCCGAATTCTGAAGCATCTGGCCCTATGAGTTCCAAACAGGAGGTTGTGTTGCACAGTACCCTGCTCCAAAGATGGGCAGCAGGGACATAAGACAAACTTGGGGTGGGAAGGTCATGTCAGTACTGAAGGAAGCTCTTCTTTGGGACTGGGGGTGGGGGGCTGCCACCATCTGTCTGACTGCTCTAATAAAATGCAACAGTCTAGGTGACCTCTAAACAATTTCTAAAATACACTCGGCATAGTCTGGGGCACTGAGGTGAAACTAAGCATCTTAATTTGGGTTTTATTGCTATGAAGAGACACCTGACCACGGTGACTCGTATAAAGGAAAACATCTCATTGGAGCCTGAATTATAGTACAGAGATTTACTCATTATTTGTTGCAGAATATTTGATCCCAATGTGAACCCCAAGACTGTGAGCTGTAAAAATCTGTTTCTTTGTTTGGTGTGGCTGAGTCCTAACACATCTTTAATCCAAGAGCTTTCTGTACACAGAATTAAATAAAGTTAACCCGAGGTCAAGAGGAAAAGCAAGAAACCAGCTGACGGAGAGTAAACAGAAAGGAGCAACACTGAGTTGAAGGGCATTTAAGACAGTGTGGAGAAGGGGCTTTTGGCTTTTTCCTTCTGCGACATGAGCTAAGTACGAAGCTCAGCTGGGTGCTTTCTCTGCTTCTCTGAGCTAGCAAGTTTTCACCTCCGCATCTGGCTCCTGAGGCTTTATTGGTAAAATCAAACAATTACAGCAGCATGCAGGCAAACATGGTGCCGGAAGAAGGAGTGGAGAGTTTGGCATCTTTTAATTTTTAAAAACTTTTTATTGATTCTTTGTGAAATTCAGGTACCACAATCTCACTCATCTCCCTGTTCTTTCCTACCTGCCCCTCAACCCTTGAAATCTCATTGTGGAAGCTATCGTGTCACAGTGTATCCCACAGTGTGCCCCACAGTACCCTTTTGTCCATCCAGACTTCCTTGCTTGCAAATGTTCATTGCAATGGGTCACTGTTCTGGTTTGAGGCCTCTGCCTTCTGCTACACTACCAATTCTGGATTTTCAACATGACGCCTCTCAAATGTCCTGTTGTTGTACTGTGCTGTGAAGATCTTGCAGCTTTGGATCTGTAAGGGGCTTTGGTGCCTTTACGCATTCCAGAAGTTCATAGATGGGGCAGATGTTGAGGTGGACCAACTCAGAGCCCTGGATTTGAGCCCAGGTGCTACCAGAGCTGGTCAGCTCCCACACCCTCACTACCAGGTCCAGCTCTCCAGCACTGCCCTAGCTAGCTCACTCACTGCTGCAGCCAACAAGAGGCAGAGCCAGCTCTCCTGCTCTCGTGCCCTTGGGGCCAACACACCCTCATCCACCCCAGCAGAGCCAACTCTACTGTACCACCCAGTAAAGGTGCAGGGCCTGCTCTCCTGGTACTTGCAGCAAGTGAGGGGCAGGACCAGCTCTCCCACTCTTAAAACCATGGGGCCAGCTCTCCAGCCTGCCATGAATGGCTAGGAGTGAGGGGGTTAAGGGGTAGTATGATCAAAATTATATTGTAGAAATTTTCAATTTAAAGGATACAACAATAAGAAAATTTCTCTGGTACTTTTGTGGCTCTGCTCTGGTTGCAGCATTCCCAGAGCTGTCTTATTTGTATTTCAGTTGCTCCCAAAGCAGTCTCCTCTGTTAAAGAGTCAAGGCCTAGAGAAAAAAGCTTGTAAGTCAGAGTTAGAAGAGAGCTTATGTGTAGTATCTTTTTGTGTACTGTGTATTCAAATGCTGATCTTCGTATCCAGAAATCTGGTTACAGTCCATATGTTGACACTGTCATTTCTATGACCTGTCTCAACGTTGTATAAAAATTGTTCTCTGTCACCCTCTGATTAGTTAATAAAGAGATGAACAGCCAGTAACTGAGCAGGAGAGGATACGGCGGGACTTCCAATCCCAGTGAGGGAGCTACCAGGAGAGAATCACCATGGGGACTCTGATGAAGCAGGTACCAGGGCGAGACTAAGATGGCAGGTGATGTGCCACGGGGCTTGTGAAGTAGTCCAGGCCAGCATAGATGGGTTAGAATAGCTCAACTTCTACCCAGCTATATAGGGTCCAAATCTATTACTAATAAATATAAAGGTCTCAGTGTCATTATTTGGGAGCTAGAGTAGATATTAGCAAAGTCCTTTTTTACAAGCTTGACTGTCCCTGACACACAGACTAAGAGCAATTAGATAAAGGGCTTCAAAGCAAGCTGGCTCAGGTTAGGGTAAAGACTGAACACCAGAGCTTGGCCCCCAGAACCAACATGGTGGAAGGAGAGGACAGACTCCTGCAGGTTGTCCTCTGACCTCCATGCATACAGATGGGACAGAAGTTAAAGGTTTCAGGGTTTATATTTGTTTGAGAAATTATACTAGCAAAAACAAACCAAAACCCTTGAGCATGACTTAAATAATGGGCACCAAGCTCCTGGAACTGTTTTCAGAACCTGAGGGGTGGAGGTGGGGTGGATATGGAGTAACTTCCAAGAGGGGAGGCCACCGAAGTTAATGAAAAAGAAAAACCTTGATCAGAGTCAGGGTCTACATCAGGTGACTTGTTTCCAAGCAGCATTCCACAGTTGTCTCAAATCTAAGTATCTCTCTTCCACTTTCCATAATGAGAGCTCTAAATAAGAGCTATCCTGTCCCATAACACTGGGGAACAGTGACAACAGTTAAGCTAAGAGACCTCAAGGGAGATCTCAGATTTTGAGCTTAATCCTTTGCTGGATGAGGGGTGCTGGAATGCTTTCTCTGTGAGGCAAAGTGGGTCAAGATACTTTGTAGGAAGAGATCAAGCTGTGGCTGTGGCAGCAGGGATAAGTTGTAGCGGCTCCCCAGCCAAAAAAATCACACTTCTCAGCGTTCCTACACTTTGGATGTAATGAGGCCTGGACCATTTCAAGGCAGAACCCTTCATACCTATATTTCTGCAAAATCCCACATTCTTTTCTGCAAATGGAATGGTGAAAATGACAGAACAATCTATGCAGTAGTGCCCACTAGCCTGGGAACAAAAGAGAATAAGGACCCTAACCCAAACACAACCCTGCCCCCCTAAACTAGAGAGGTAACTCCTCCAACACCATGTTATTAAAAGGTTACTGCCATCGCAGTCAGGTGCACTACAAACCCTGGATAGCCTTTGCACATTTACTTAGCAACTTCATCAAAACACACGCAACCTCTGAAACAGCTTTTTATTAAACAGCGAAGCAGAACTTGAACACAATTTTAAATATTTGTAACAAGGTCACAAAAGGGTTGCAAAATGTCTGCAATGTAAGGATTACATGTCCATATAGCTAACATCACTCATCAAGGCTTCTACTAATACAGTAGCTGATTCCACCAGTCAAAGCCGCCCAATCTAAGACCTACAGGTGCATTAGCGGATCTTTCCTAATATAACATTTTATTATTATTTCTGATATCAACTCCTTTTTCAAATGGAAGCTACAAGCTAAAGTTTTTAAATTTGTTACAAGAATGACTATAATTCTGCAAACCAAGCAGCCAAGTTTACAGAAATTCTGGGGAAACAACTGAGATAAAATACTAACATTAACAATTATCACATATACAAAACTCTCTTATATTCATGATTCTGATACTAATATACTCTCAATTAATTTTTCAAAAGTTCACCTCCTGGGTACAAACAAACGAGACCAAACTCTTAAATGGTCTCTCTGGCATGTGGCTTAATCCACTTACATCAGACTTAGTCTGCTTTCATTTACTGTCTGAAAAGTGCAGCTGTGGGCCAGAGGTAATGCACATCTGGAGGGAAAACATTGGGAGTTGGTTACTTCTGATTATCCAGTTTTCCTCCGTTTCTATCTTTCCTCAAGATTTTTTATTTTTCAAACATATATGACCAGCACTTATCTTTTCAACACCAATTGAGCCATTATGTGCAAAAGGAAGTTTTTAGCTTCTCAATGTGACAGTTTACATTTCAAAGAAAACCTTCATTTTTTAATAGCTTTAATCTATTTTCAATTGATTAAAGAGAAACCAGCAATCCTATCTTATTAGAAATATCACAAATGGCAAGCATTAGCTAAGAAAGTATCTTATTTTGGTTAAGTGTCAACAATTACGGTTCAGGTTACTTTTTAGGGGATAGCTATTGAAGTTACTGTCAGGAAGGGACACAGGAAGGAAGAGGCAGATGGAGAGAGGCACAAGATGGTGGACAAGGTACAGAAGCTGTGCATTCAGTACATGTTTTGGTCACTTTTTCACAACATGGTTGTTTTCTTGTATATTTTACTAGTTAGGCATGTGATAAAAGACAGTGCTAAACATATATCTATTATATATATAAGCAAATTGGCAAAACATTCATCTTCAAGTTTCATAAATATCTGTAATTCTAATTATAAAGTCTCTACATGTGCACATTTCCATAGACTAACGTATACATATAACGTTAACTCAGGGGCGGTTGGTCCTGTTAAGCAGTTAGCATTACCTAGACCTCACATTCTCTTTATAAATACTCAGGGAAGCAAACAAAGATACTGTAACTTTTGGATCAAATCCAAGCATTAAGGGAAAAAAAAGAAAGAAAGCAGCAACTCCACAGAAGCAAGGGTGGTGAGCCCTTTACTTCCTTTTGCTTTTTGTATCAGTTGTTTGAAAAACACTAGAAGCAGACATGAGGTTTTCTATATACTGTCCAAGAACTTGATTTTCCGATTTTAGCTTCAGATTTTCTTCCTTAACTGCATCTACTCTTGCAGAAAGATCTATATAAAAATACATAAAAATACAATTATCAATAAAATCATGGCAATGACTCCATGTTATGAAATGCAAGATCTATCCTTAAAAGCTGAAGAGCAGGCTCAGGGTGTGTTGCCTAGCACCCTGGATTTGATCTTTGGCACTAACAATAAAGGAATATCACAATTCATAAATGTTCTGTTTTCCAATTAGGTTACTGGGGGGAAAGGCTTAAGTAAAAAGAAGTTTACTAAATACAAGTCAGAAGATGGTGATTCTTAACAGCATATCCCATGGGACTCCGGTTAGCCTGTTTTTATGCTAACTCTTGAAATCGTTAAGAGAATGTTATGTTTATAAAGTGTCCTCCCACATGAAACTAAGATGTCTTTATGGGAGTGTTTTAAGATATACAGCTTAACACAACTGGATTCCTAAGCTAGACAGGAGATCCTAGCAGCAAGTTCTTTTATATTTTTATATTAGTTAAAAAAATCAAAAGACACAGATTTTAATGATCAAATAAAAAAGTTACGTCCATTCACACATTTAACAGACGTATAATGACCATTCTAGAAGCAACAGAGAAAAGCACCTGTGCATTCACCAACTCAGGGCTCAGGCTTACAGAGTAAACATTAAACATGTTAAGATACAGTATGTCAGGATTTTTCTGGAGAAAAGATAAAGTGGCTAAGCGTCATAAAAGCAGATGAAAAGTGCTCTTTCAGAGTTAACTCTTTTGCTAAGGGTAATTTGACCAGAGGCCTGAAGGAACCAAGGAACTGAACCACACAGATAAGTAGCTAAAGGAAGAGACTTAAAACAAAGGAGAACAGCAACAGCCCATACTGCCAGATGATCTGAGGTGGAATGTATGACGCAGAGCTGTTACTGTCAAATGAGAAGCTTCTGCTGACTTTGAATCCCGAACAAGAAAACAATACTTTCTTAACCATCAAAAGACATGTAGATAGTGTTAATTTTGTGGAAGGAAGTTAGAAAATGAAAACAATCTAAGATCAATTTTGATTTCTGGAGGCAATGTTTCTTTTTGTTTTAGTAGAGCTTTCTTGAAACAGGCTTGGTAAAACGTTGCCAGAGCTCTCCTACTAAGTCAGCATCATTCAAATCCCTTAAAGAGGATATGTCCAGTATATATAAAGAGCAGTGACCAGTATTACTGAGGCATTTTGACCTTTAAACCACCAGCCACAGCTGCAGACAACAGGAAGAAAGAGTAGACATGGGTGCCAGCAGCATGCCCTACTGGAAAAAGACACCCACCACCCAAACATGATGACGTGAGCTCAATTCCATGATCCACATGAGGGAAAGAGAGACCAATTCCTACAAGTTATCCTGTGACTTCCACAAGAGTACCCTGGCCTGCACACCCACCACGCATACAAGTATTACAAAATAACAACAACAAGCCTACTAACATGGACTTTGAAGTTAACGAGTGAAAACTACAAAATGCAATCTAACCTTCAAGTGTGTGTTGAAGTTCCAACACCTGATTAATAAGTCGAGTCTTTTCTTCCAGTTCCACCTGATTTTCAGCATCAACTGCTGTAATAAAAAAAGTGTTAAATTTACTATTAATAAACACTATGCCAGTTGTGGCATGTAGCACTTACAATTCTGCAGAATATTTTATAACTGTTGTTAACTGACTTATCAAAGTCTGTAACTGATGTATACAAAGCCTCTACTTCATGACAGTTAAGGGCATTGAGCAGAAAATAACAAATGAACTTGCCACACAGTTACAGAATAGAAGCCACCTTGGATGCTTTCTAAAGTAAATGAGAAAAGAAGTCAGACAAGACTTAAACCTCCTTGATTGCTTCTCTGCTCTTCCCATTACGTAATAAAGCAAAATGCCACCTAGAAAGCCACAGCTTACGCAAAAAGGAATGAAGACCTTACCATCCATGTCAGCATTCATCATCTTGGGTAACAGACTTTCAGCTCTTGGATGCAAACTCTTTGATGAATGGTCTAAAGCAAGAAAAAGAAACAGATATTGTTATCTCTGTACTTCAGATAAAGTAAATTACTAGATTTTTTTCAAAATTCCATTTTAAAAGTTATTCAATCTATTACAGTATTTGAAGATAACACTTTAAGACTTCTCATCAAACAAACAAATGAGGGAATATAAAGAAAATAATTAAAAGCATTCCTCTCCTTCTAACCAGCGTGCAGTTTTTAAATGGACATGAAGTTGATTTGTGTGTATTTCTGCCTGTGTGCATGGTTCTGTGTATGTGCATGTCTCTGTGCACATGTGGAGACCAGAAGTCACCTCTGAGTGTCTTCCTCAGTCCCTCTCCACCTTATAATTTTTAAGACAGTGCATCTCTTGAACCTGGAACTCGTGGATTCAATTAGTGTTTGTGAGCAAACTCCAGAGGCCCTACCTCCATCTGCCAAGCCTGTAATTTGTGGGTTCACTGAACACAGACACACATGTACACATATTCACACACTACCTTATAGATACTTTGTGACTTTAACAGCTGCCCTGGCTCTGAGAGGGACATTATTCTCTGAGATTCTTTACGTTAAGAGTTTTTAAAAACTTTTCTTTGAAAATCACAGGAAATCTCAGCACCCGTATCTAGCTTGTCAGTGGATGAGAATCTGTAACCATTTATCATTTAAATCCAGGAAGCAGAAAGGGTAGAGAGAGAAAGACTTAGGGATATGGCAAGTGCTACACCAGGATTAGTTTGAATTATTGTTGCATGCTCACACTGTACCTTCTAAGACCTCCTCTCAAGATGTTTTAGCACAGTGATTAAAAACCTTCATTCTGCTTTTATAGGCTCTGAAAGCCTGTCAAGTTTCAAAAGCTCAGCCTCAGTACCTTCATCCATAAAATGGAGCTAGTAACTATGCATCTCACAGGTTTGCGCCGAGAACTTATGAATTCAGGCACGTGTTTGTGTACTCAGTAGGCAACCCACAGATGTTAACTATTAACTTCTCATCTCAAGTCTCCTGTTTGGACCACAAAAGAAACTTTAGAAAAATCATGTGGCCAAATGCCTCATATAGAACTCAAGGCCAAAGCTCAAAGTGTCTCATTCCACATCTCAGTAGTTACCCTGAGTCAAACATCCAATCTGTTTTTCCCACCATTCCACCTCAGCTTGATTTAACATCTCAGACGTGAGAGTTTGGCATTTCCCTAAGATCCATCCAAACTCAGCCACCAGACTTCTCTGCACCTGCAATTAATGTTTTCCATCTGTCACCCACTTGAGACAGTGTTTCTAAAATTAAAAGCCCAACGTAGTCAATTAATGCACTAAACTCTTTCATATATAGTTCCAACAAAACAGCAGGAAAAAGTGCAACTCACAGATGTGGATACTAAGCCTTATAAAGGCCAGCGGCCTTGGCTACCGTTTCACAGCTCAGAATTAAGGCCCTAAACCTGAGTTTCTCAAACGTTTTGAAAACCTCGACTCCTCTGGCGTTTCCACAAACTAAACAACTAAAGACAAATTTCATTTGCTTCAAGATGCATCCATACTCCAGTGTGACATTTTGGGTGGCTTCAAGTCGATGGAAATCGAGGAACTACGTAGTCAATAAGGATTTCAAACTTGTTAGATTCCCCAGAGAGCTGGAGCACACAGGCACCAGGATTCCGACGCACAGCACAGTCTCAAAAACAGCGGTTTGGGGACCTCTGTCCTTATGGCTATTACACCGTCAGAGACTGACAGTATAACAGCAATCTTAGCTTTTCGGGAACCAATATTTGTTCCGCAGGACGCTTGAGACTAACAAAGGAACAAACCCAGGTTCGGTTCAAAGCAACGATGTCCCACCCTAGACAGGCATGGGCCACCACGCCTGTATCCGATCCGAGCACCCGGGAGGCTGAGGCAGGTGGACTGCCCCGAGCTGGAAGGTAGCTCGGGCTGCGGTGAGTCCTCTCCTACCAGCTGCGTCCCATCACACCCCAAAAGGGTCCCGCACCTCCAGGCTCTTCCCACCGAGCCCGCTGCAGGCTGCCGGGAGGGCGGCTGCGCAGCGCTCAGCGGGGCGTCGGGCCTCGCGGCCGCACGATCCAGCGCCCAGGCCGCCGCCCCGGTCCCCGTCCCGCCCCTCCCCGCCCGCAGACTCTCGGCGAGACCGAGGCCGCCAGGGCGGGGCCCAGGCCCCGGCCCCCGCCGCCCCGGGCCACCTCACCTTGCGTCTGAGGCGCCGGGAGGGGGCGGGATAGGCAGAACGCCTAAGGCCGCGGCTCTCGGTCCAACTGACAGGGGCAGCTCCGCCCTTTCCGCCCACGGAGTGCGCCGAGCGAGGAGGCGGCCTCCTACCAATCCTGACGCGAGATTGCGCGCCTGCGCATTGGCTGCCGGCCGCCGCAACAGGCCCGTGGCAGAGCACCCGGGCCCACCTTTGCCCTAACAAAAGGGCATTGACGCCCAATCAGGATTGTTGGGCGTGTCCTGGAAAAGCGCCGACCAATCACAGCGCAGAAGAGTAGATGCGCCAAAGAAAGCGGTCGTCGCTGAGCAGCTTTTGTCTTTGCCAGGAGCCTGAAAAGTGAGGTTGGAAGTCCTTCTAGGTAAAAAAGAATGAAAAATAAAATTCTGGAAATTTAAACGAGAGATATTCGTTCAAGAACAGAGTGAAGACTGCTGCCCCTCAATTCTAAAGGGACATTTTCCTTCTTTTTTTACCATTGCTGAAATCAGAAAACGCATAAAGCGTATACCATTAGTGGATGTTTCTCTTCGTACCCCCGTATCCTGGACAATATTTAAGATTATAGTTCGCCTGACCACTTCATAATGCCTTTAGATCGGCAGTCGCCTGATCTCATTCGATCTCACAGAGAACCTGAAGCTTAAAGTTGTTGCTTATTCATGGGTACATGCACACCGTGCCAGACTCTGGAGTGTCACGTGGCCTTCATTATAACCTAACCTTTGAAACGAAGTATGTTGCTCTTAACTCTCGCTGACCACGGGGTATACCCCCCACCTGCAAAGCATTCTTGCTTTGACTTTAACAAAACCTTCTGAGCTACAGAGGCGAGCTTACGTATACTTTCTTCTTGGCGATAGATAGATAGATAGATAGATAGATAGATAGATAGATAGATAGATAGATAGATAGATAGGTAGATAGATATGTATGTCATAAATATTTTTGCTTTTAGTGGGTTTTTTGTTTGTTTGTTTGTTTGTTTGTTTGTTTGTTTGAAACAGGTTTTCTTTACGTAGCCTTGGCTGTCCTGGACTCTATTTGCAGACCACGCTGGCCTCGAACAGCAATGGTGCCCTGCTATAGATTTTATTTTTAATTGCATAAATATGTGGCGAGGTGTGTGTGTGTGTGTGTGTGTGTGTGTGTGTGTGTGTGTGTGTGCACTCAGGCGTTCAATTGCCAGGGCAAATGTAGAGGTTGCCACTGCATTTTTTAAAGAGAGTTTTTCAAATAATTAAGTATTGCAAGATCTACCTGGCATTAAACATTGAACCTTATTGGGGAAAAAGGGAAGAAAAGAATATGTAGTTATGTTGATTTTTTTTCTCACAAGTATTTTCTAATCATATTTTCTTCCAAATCAGTTTATCTCTAGCTGTGTAAGAAACACAATGTGTTTCTTCATAATAGAAAATATAAGAATAATATAATTACCCCGTGATCTGCAGATGTGGCTGCTTAGTACAGAGCCAAATTCATAAATTATTTTAATGGCTAGTTTATTGTTGCAAAAATGCCGATGCTGGCACACAAGTAGCTCATTTGGAAAACCTTGGGAAACAGTGTAACAAAGCTGTTGTGGTATTCTGTGCCTGTAATCCCAGGAAAGGAGGGACAGGCAAGAAGTTGGCTGTAAATTCCAGGCCAGCTTGGGCTACACAGTAAGTTCCAGGCCAGCCTGAGCTACACGATGAGCTCTAGGCCAGTCTGGAAGCCTAAGCGGATTTCCTCAGCAGATTATCTTCCACCATTCACAGTGTCGTGGTTCTGTAGTTCTCTGCACAAAAACATCAGGAATAATTTCAGCAGGGAAACAGGTTCCACTAAGTTTTATAGAAATAATGTGGCTTTAAAGTCAAGATTAATATAGGATATATATATAGGAGCATTAAGAAAATACTGGGTATTTTGTTTTGCTGGTGGTGTACACCTTTAATCCCAGCACTCAGGAGGCAGACACAGGCAGTTCTCTGTGAGTTTGCATTCTGATCACTGGTACAGCTAGGGCTATGCAGAGAGACCCTGTCTCTGAAAAAAGAAAGAAGGAAAATTCTGTTTATAATAAATATGGCCAGGCATGGTGGCACACACCTTTAATTCCAGCACATGGGAGGCAGAGGCAGATGGAGCTCTGTGAGTTCAAGTCCAGCCTGGTCAACAAAGTGAGTCAGGACAGCCAGGGTCCTGTTACACAGAGAAATCCTGTCTCAAAAAAAAAAAAAAAACAGTAATAATAATAATAATACATGAAGCAATGCTTTGAAGAGCATGGGACATCCAGGGTTACAATTTTATAACAGAATGGTCCCACTGAGTAGCAAAGCTCTACAATGCTGGGTTGCTAAAGGGTTTTCTTCAAATTGTCCTAATTCTCATAGCTTTCTGTTCTCTCAGTAACCCTTTCAGATTAAAGGGGACAGTGTTTTAAGCTCCCCCAGCTTCTGTCAGGATCTGAGATCTTAACATGCCTGTAAGCTGATGCATATCTTGTTTTATAGCTGCTGAGATGCCCAGATTAGAGTCTCCCGCCTCTAGCACTCACCCCAGCCCTGCATGGACTTCGTTTCGGTTGCTTCCCCTGGTCTCTCAGGGTGTGGGAGGCTGCAGCAGGCCTCATATATAGCGTGTTCTGATGCAGGGGCAGAACGTTGATCTTGGAAACCTGTTGCTTGTACAGAAAGTGAAGCAAGCTTTTTTCAGAACAGGGCCAGTGATACCCAGGCACAGAACAGTGCTCTGAAAACACCATCTATTACAGTCTGGGAAAGGGGTTCACACTCTTGGCCTCCCCACAAAAAATAGTGACTCCAGAGTCCACAGCAGCACCTCTCTCAGGAATTGCCTACCTGAGTTGTCTTCAGTTCTGTGGCAAATTCATATTCCACCCCTCCATTATATAATATGCCTAGGAAAGTATCTCCAAATGTCTCAGCCTGGGTGGGTTCCTTCAAGTTCAAAAAGGAGGAAAAGACTGCTAGCCAGAGGCTGAAAATGCGACAGTAGAAGCCAGGGCACTTTGTGAATGCCTGTGGCATGAATAGATGTTTCCTATCTTACTCCTCACCCTTCTTTTTCACCATTTAACCTAACATAGTTCCAAGTAAAGATCTGGGCTGGGGAGAGAGCTCAGCTGATTGTCTACCATGCTAGTATGAGGACCTGAGTCCAATTCCTATGACCCATGTGAAAAAAAAAAAAAAAAAAAAAAAAAAAAGCTAGGTGTGGTGGTAAGCTCTTTTAATTCCTCTTTTGGGAGGCAAAGATGAACAAACAGCCAGGGTTTGCTGGTCAGTCTAATGGAACTGGTGAGCCTCAGGCCATGTCTCAAAAACACGAGGTAGGGTAGGCATCCTAAGGAATGACTCCAAGTTTGGTCTGTGGCCTCTACAAGCACTTACACATGAGCACGTGTACCCACATAGATGCACATACACACAGAGGGTGAGGGAGGTAAAGAAAAACCTATGTGTGACATATTCCATTGGCTATATTGCTCATTTCTAATCACAGGGAAGCAGGACCAGACCACGCTGTTTGACCTGACAAAGGCAGGGAGTTCTAAAAAGCCTTGCTACTAGGGGCCGAGGCTGGTCTCAAAGCCAGTGGCAACTAGTTTAAGTCAGCTTAAGAGACCTTAAGCTATGGAAAACAATAATTCCTGATGTTATACCTAGAAGTCTCTGATTCATTACCAATAACAGAGTCATGAACTCTGGGTTTTCCTTGTGATGACATGAAGTAGATTACAAACAGGCTGCTCTGTTACCACCCTTGGAAGGCATGCTGAACACTCCCTCCCTTTCTTTCACAGATGTCGGACATCTGCGTAGATCTTTCCACTCCTGGTGCTCATTTCGTTGGTACACTGTCTTTCCCATCCAAAGAGTTTTGTGCCAATAGATAATTACTGACAGACCTCATAGACCACAGTCCAATCAGCGTTTTTACCTTTACCAGCCAGGATTGCATTGCCCAGTCTGCATCGCAAGACCCTGTCTTAAAGAACCAGGTTGGCCTTTGCTGTGCCACTTCAGACAGAAACAGAATTGCAGTTTTGCCCTGCATGTCTGCAAGGAAGGGGAGATAAACAGAGGAAAAGCTTTCTAGTTTGCATGAATACCAATTGGAGCTGAGTAGAAATCCCTGCATTTGACTTGTTTGTATTCCTTGTGGACAGCAACTGTGTCCTGTCCATAAATGGAGCTCCGCTGTCCAGCACCTAGATGCAGGTCCATAAACTCTCTCTGGAAGGATGTCCAGCATGGGGTCTCCACTGTTCTGTGTTGAGAGAATCATATGTGTTTGGCATGAAAGGACAGTGCTGGGTTGCCAAAGTGTTTTTTTCAGACTTTTCAGATTTTAAACTGCTTTCTACCAAATAATCTCACTGCCTCTCCTTACATCTGGCAGAGTCAGAGAGCTCCAGAGCTGATGGCTCTTTGTGGAACATCACCTAGTGTGGTCAACATAGCACTTCCTCATAATGTACGTCTCTCACAACTGTCAGGAGATAATCTCAGTAAATCCCCATAATTTCCATGTAGGGGCCCCAGTGAGGACATTTAGAGACAGCAGCTCCTTTGTCTTTTGGGGACAGTACACTAGTGACCTCTAGTGGTGAAATTAATTCAAAATAAGTTCCTCCTTCACATACAGAAAATTCACTTACTGCTTCAGAATTTATTCTACCCTTAGTGACATTTTGTGCTTGTTAACTGATCTTACTGATACATGGTAACTTGGATCTGTTCATACTCAAAAGGCAAGATTATGGAATTACTCAGAACATTTTAGATGAAGAGTTGTCAAAAAGATTTGGGGGGGGGGGGGGGTTGGGGTGTTTGTTTGTTTGTTTGTTTTGTTCTCTGTCCTGTGTAGAAATTGAGGTCAGAGGAAGAAAGTCTATCCCTGACTCTCTGCAGAATTGGGAAACTCTTCAGGGAC